GGTTGAGGGAGGTGTAGTTGGTTGTGACGTTCTTGTTGTAGTTGGAGTTGTGGTTGTTTGAGTTATAGGAGGGACTGTCGGAGGAGGGGTTGTTGGTGGAAGGGTTGTTGGTGGTGGAGTTGTTGATGGAAGAGTTGTTGGTGGAGGGGTTGTTGGAGGTGGAGTTGTTGGTGGAAGAGTTGTTGGAGGAGGGGTTGTTGGTGGAAGAGTTGTTGGTGGAGGGGTTGTTGGTGGAAGAGTTGTTGTAGGAGAGGTTGTTGGTGGAAGAGTTGTTGGAGGAGGGGTTGTTGGTGGAGGGGTTGTTGGTGGAAGGGTTGTTGGTGGTGGAGTTGTTGGTGGAGGGGTTGTTGGTGGAGGGGTTGTTGGTGGAATGGTTGTTGGTGGTGGAGTTGTTGGAGGAGGGGTTGTTGGTGGAGGGGTTGTTGGTGGAATGGTTGTTGGTGGTGGGGTTGTTGGTGGAGGGGTTGTTGGTGGAGGGGTTGTTGGTGGAATGGTTGTTGGTGGTGGGGTTGTTGGTGGAGGGGTTGTTGGTGGAAGGGTTGTTTGTGGAGGGGTTGTTGTGGGAGGGGTTGTTGGTAATAATGAAGTTGTCGTTGTAGAAGTGTTACACGCTGCTACTTGTGAATAGGGTCCACTTAAATTATAAGAACAGCTAAACTAATCAAAACAAAAAAAAATGCTTACGGGCATTCAAATATAGATTGCGCATCATTACAGCCACTAGGCTGGGCCATGCATGTTCGTATCCGACGCTGAATGCTAACATTAATTGGTATTGCAGTAATACATTGCCCCCAATCTCCCCATTGTCCCCACTCTCCGATACTTAGGCATGAATTATTTGATTGTGTTAATACAAAAGGAAAAATAAAAAATAAATAGATTATTAGAAGGCCAATATTAATTTGAAATTTATTAGTTAAAATAAATAAATGATTTTGATATATCCAACATTGCTTCATTTGATCCTAAAAAAATCTAAAATTTTAAAAATTAAAAAATCTTATCATAAATTTGTTGAAATAATTATTGAATTAAGGATTTAATGCAAATATTTAATGTTTATTTTAAGAATACATAAAACATCGATCATTTTGCTTTGGTCAAGGGGTGGAGGTGAAAGTTTATTACCTTCCCAAAACCTGAATTGAATGAGGGATAGAATTGGAAGAATAAAATATTTGGCCAAATAAGGCAACAAAAACCACATTTACTAACAAAAGCTTTATCTATCTAACAAATAAATAAAGCTTTAGTAAGCAAAACAAACGTTTGTTCAGAAACGTGGTAAAGCATCTACCTCGACTTAATCCTCCTCTCTACAAAAATTATTTTTAAAAATAAAATTTAAATTTTAAATTGATTTTTAATTTAATCGATTGAGAACAATCTACGTGTTTAAACGGAAGAATTAAAAACAAAAATTTAAAATCTCAAAAGGGGCACCACTATTTACTCATCACTCACAAAACTACCCAATTAGTCTCTAAAAAAGATAATCCTCCTTTTAGGCACAGTTTTTAACTAACCAAATGAAAGTACATTTAAATTAGAAATATTTTCACAATATATTTTGATATCGTTTCTCTCCCCTTTTGTGTTTTTAAGATTGGAAAGAAATAATTTAAAATTGAGATCTGTATTTAAATAATAAATTAAATAAAAATATTTTTTAAAGATGCAAGTGAAAATTAAAATTTTTTTATTTTCCAATTAACTTCTTTGTTTATTTTAGCTGACTGTACACAATTCTCTATCTAAAAAATCTGTAAAATTAAATAACAGAAAATTAAATAATTATTATTTTTACCATTTTAATCATTCAATGGCCACAAAACAGAGGGCAAAATAAATAAATATTTATTTATTTATTACAACATTTAAATAATTGTTGATTGTCAAAAATTTTATTTTAATGATTTATATTTTGGAGTTAATCTAATAATAATTAAAATATTTTAAAAACAAGTTTATATGTATTTATTTATTAAAAAATAAAAAAATAAAAATATTATTAAATAGTAATGGAAAATTAATTAAAAAATAAAATTAAAAAATAAAATCAAAATACACCCAATTTAAATGCCAAATTATTAATTTAATAATAATTTTATTATTTTTAATTTAAATAAAATGTCTACCTAATTAAGCATTATTTCTATACGTCAATCTCCAAAATATTTAAGTAATAAATTAATTTAAAAATAAAATTAAAGAATGCCAAAAATTAATAAATAAGAAAAAAACTTTTAAAAAAAGATTTTGTTCTGTGTTTGAGAAAGAGCAAAGAAATAATGGCTGTGAATTGGTCAGAAACAACAAGGAAGTTGTTTTTAGATGTGACGTTGCTGTTATATATTTAATTTTTGCAAAAAAAACTTTTTTTGTTTATTATTATTATTATTGTAGTGCATTGAGTACTAAATAAATAAATAAATAAATATAGATATAAATTTAGCAATTGGCCGAATTGAAGAATTACGTATGTTGAGATGCCCCACGGGGAAGAATATTTTTGTATAATAATTAACGTCACTGTCACAACTTCTTCAAAACTATTTTTGCCACGCCCCAAGCAACTCAATTTTAAATAAAAATTCTTTGACACCTTTCTTCTACAACAAATAACACCTTTCTTTAATACATTAATTTCTTCCCTTTCCCTCCCTTTTCTTCTTGTTTGTGTTTCTTTTTTTTTATCTTTTACTAATTTCTTTAAAAACAACGCCCACGCCCAAATTCTCTCAATTAATATTTTTATTTAATAATATTTATTTTATTTATAACAAGTCAAAAATCTACTAAATATTTAATAATTCTCTTTCTTTTAAAGTTTTTAACTTTTTTAAAATAAATGCCTGAGGGGTTTTGAGTAATTTAAAAATAAAAAGTTGTTGCGCGAGTATATAAAAGTGACAAATTATTGGGATATTTAGCTTAGATTGTTGTTTTTTAAATAAATTTTTATTTTGAGCTCGAAAAATTACAAAATAAACTGCTCCACATAAGTCCAGCCCTTTTTTCGAGATTTTTTCACTTCCAATGATCCAAATTTTTTGAAAAAAAACTTCTTGGAGCAGTGTAAATATCAGCAATTGACATACATATATTTTGACAATAATTTCTAAATAAATAATCAAAAAAATATTTTTTTAAGTTTTTAGAAGAATTAGCAACATTTAAAATAATTTATTTATGCAAAATTACTCTTTGCTTTTTAAAATATTATAAATTAGCATTGTAAACTTCCAACTCCCCTCCCCTCTCCCTAACAATCCCTCCTACTCCACACCTAATAAAATATTATTTATTTTATTTACAAATTAATTGTTTATTTTTAATATAATCAAAAACGCCCACATTTCTCAACTTTTAAATTAAAAAAAGTTGGAAGACAATTGAAAAATAAAAATAAACTAATTAACATTAATTACCTAAATTTAATTTTACAGTTTTATTTGTTACTATATAATTAATTAATTATTTAAATTTTGTACGATGATCATTGGTTAATTTATTTTAATTTTTAAATTTAAAGTTTATTTTTTGTTTTGTACCGCCTTTATTTTTGCAATTTTGTTATTAATTTTATTTTTTATTTAAAATAATTTTCATAAAACTCGATCTCTGATTACGTCTTTAAATTTTATTAATATATAAAGAGGGAATAAATAGTATATAATTGAACATTTATTTATTTAAAATAGTATAGTATTTTATTTAAATTTAAATTATGCTGATCGGGAAAATTATACTGTTGGGGAAATTAGTTAAGTTGTTTTTATTTTTTTATTAACTTTTAATTTTCTTATAGTACAATACCCATTCCTTGCCCATAATTTAAATTTAGAATATTTATACCAGAAAATATCTAGAGATGGACTTAGACGGGATTTCTGTCCCCAAAATATATTTTTTTTCATTTTCTCTCCAAATTTTTAAATTTATTTTAAATTTCTTCTTTTTAGCAATATTACATACTCCTTCCAATATATCTGTCCCAAAATATTTGTTACATAAAATATCAGTTTACTGAATAATTTTTCTTTTAGTGATCCAGTAATTGTTTGTATTAAAGCCATTTTTGTAATTAGACTTTTAATAAATTTACTCATTAAAATAATTTTAATTTCAAAAAATTATTAATTTTCAAAACACAAAAAAATTTAATTTAAAAAATCAATTTAACCAAAAACTTTTTTAAATTTATTAATTTAATTTTTATTTTATAATAAATAAATCTATTTAAATATTTATTTCCCTGGCAATAAATTAATTTTTTACTTTAATTTTTTAACAAAATATTACGTCTACACAACTAACTTAGTAATTAATTGAATATTTCTCTCTCTAAAAATTTCTAAAAAAATCTCTTTTTTTCATTTTCCCCTCCCAAAAATATATTTAATTACTCTTTTTTACTTTCTTCCACGTTCCACGTTAGGGGATCATGATTCAGTTAAACACAATTTTTAGTGTGTAAAATTTTTGAGTTTTTTTAATGTCCAAAATTGAAAAATTAATTAATTAATTATTTTTTGGATATTTTTTTAAATTAAATTTTTAGTTTTTACGAAAAATTAAATAATTATTATTCATGTACATAGATTTTATATTAAGCACCTAATAACCAGAGCTTTGAAATTTCGATTTGCTTGTACTCAGAATATTCTATTAATAACTAGAGACCGAACTGGAGTTTTGATTGATATACGAGATCTCGAAAAATATTGATCTTATTAATTAAGGTTTTTTCGAGATCTCGTTTAGGTCCGATTTTTAATAGTACATTTTATAAAGATACTTTAAATAAAAATATTTCTCTCAATTCTTCTTTTTAAAATTATTTTTTAGTTTATTTTAATTTCTATTTTTTCTAAAAAATTTTATTTTTTTTCTACCCTTTTTTCTTACCATAAAAGGGTTTCTTTTTGTAAATGCAACAATTTTCTTTTATTTTTATTTTTTTCATGTCATCACTAAAAAACCTTTAAAAACTTTGACAAGGCCAATTGAATGAACAAGGACCGTTTTTAAATAAATTTTTGCCAAAAATGGCATGACAGAAAACAATTTTAGAGAATGCCAAAATTAGAAAAAAGGGGACATCCAAGCGGAAAAGGACGACGCAACTTCCCTCAAAAAGCTAAAAATAAGGAATTGGCTATGTCCAAAAAAAGTTTTAGGCCAAAGGTTCTCTCTTTATTTTCTAAAAATATATTTGTATTTTTCGTTACATTTTTTCTATTAAGAACAATCCTTTGGCCTTTTCTTAAAAATATATTTTTGCAAATCCTCAACTTTGCTCTTAAAAAAACATAAAAAATAAACTCTCTCATTTTTGTTTGACAGTCCTGCGTCAGCTTTATTTAATATATTTATTTTCTCTTGTAAAAATGCCTTCACAATGTTATTTCCGCTCCCGTTTCTATTTTGTGTTGTTTCTTTTTTAGCAGTGCAAAAGTGGACTAAAAAAAGGGAAAGGAATGCGCGTGGGAGCATGTTGAAATGGGGATTTGAAAAAGAATTGGTGAAAGGAGAGAAAGGCGCGGGAAAACGCAAAGAACACAGTTTTAGAATAGAAATGTGTGTTTTGTGCCGAAAATAGCTGTGATGTTGTATATTTTTGCTTACGAAAATAGGCAAATAGAAAAGTAGAAAAAGAGAGGTAAAAAAGCTTATCTAAGGCAAAAAGGCAGACTAGGACTAGGAGCTTTTCCTTTCTCTTTTGATGGGGTTGTTTAGACGTAAATATTTAATTTGGCGTTTTTATATTTCTGTGTTCATAATTTTGAGTTAATTAGAAGTCTTTAATGTTTTTTTTTAAATTAGTGATTCGATTTTACAATTGAATTTAAGCTTTTATGTTTTGATGGATACTAAAAATAATGAACAAAATACAAAAAATTTTCTATTTCCTCTACTTTCTCTGTTATTTTTAAGGAACCATAGATTCAGATCAATCCCTAAAATCCGTAAATTTGGAGATTGACTGTTAAGACCTGAATTTCTGTTTGGCGCCAAACATAAGGCGCCATAACAACACAAACAACATTTCTGTTCTTCCCCCCTCCTTTCCAAAAAATAAAAGGGCGGAGTTTAAATTTCTCCAAAGTTTTTAAAAGCTTTGCTACTTAATGACGATTATTGCAATTTTTAAAAAGCTGGAAAGAGAGAGAGAGAGAGGGAAAGGCTGACTTTTGTTCCCCAAAAATAGCTAGCTAGTACATTTATTTTATCTGTTTAAACACAAATTTATTTTGAAATTATTTTTAAAAATGTTTTTTTTCTCTTTTAATTTTTGAGTTAAAATTTAAATAAAATATTCCCCTTTCCCCTCCTCTCTTTCATTTCTATTTGAATTTTTCAAAAAAATATATAATTTGTTAACAAAAATTAAAATTTTAAAAAATCGAATCTAACAGCGGTTTTACGTTGGCAGAATTATTTTTAAATTATTTCAATTTAAAGTTTAATTATTATAAGGGGGTTAAGAGATTCTTAGGAGAATTATTTTTAAATAAATAAAATTACTTTGAAAATTAATTTTTTAAAGTTTTTTTATAAAAAATATTTATTTAAATAAAATAAAAAAAATCGTTTTTAAATCTTTTTTTTTTAAATTATTAATATCAAATGACATTTTTATTATATTATTAATTTAACTTTTTTTGTTAAGTATATAATTTCTTTATTTAAACATTTTTTAACAATTTTAAATTACTTATTCGATACATTTTTAAATTAAAATATTTTTTTGGTATTGATGTTTAAAAAAATTAATTATTTAATTTAAAATAAATATAAAATATTAATTTAAATTGCTCATACTTTTTCTACGCAAAATTTTTGTTCCTTAATTTGGCAAATACTCAACAGACATTTAATTTTACTTTAAAGAAAGAAAAAAGTTTATTTTAATGAAATAAACTTAGTCAGCAATTAAAATAATTATTTTTTTGTAATTTGACGAATCTTCTTTTTTTGATTTAGTATTACATTTTATTTATTTAATTTGTTTTTATTACTAATTTAAATAATGCAACAAAATTGAGACAATTTACAAAAAGAGAGGGAAGGGAGAGAAAATATGTATATTTTTGTAAAGGGGTATCCTTTAAATTTTCGATTTCAGAAATTTTGATAAAAGCTAATAATATTAATTTCTTCTGTTCTTATACCGAATACTTAATTTTTAATTTATTAATTAGTCATGTTTTTATTGCACCAAAAATATCCTTTATTTTTAATAACATACTACAAAATAAACTTTTGTTTTAATTTATTTGAAAAGAATTTTTATTTTTTTTTTAATTTTTTGTTGCAGCTTTTATTAAAAAGATAATAAATAGAAAATAAAAGAAAAAGAAAAGTTTTATTTTTTATTTCAAAGGCCAATGGCCAATGAATAATTTTTTAGCCTGCAATATTTACTCAGGCTATATCTATTTTAAAGAGAGAGTTTTTAATTTACCTTCTCCTCTCCTCTCTCTTTCTCATTAAAAGCCAAAAAGGCATGATTTCCACAACATATATCCCTTCTCTCTCTCTCTCAAAAAGTTTTAAAAACATACAAAAAGCTTTCTACTATTTTTATCTTTTTTGGAAAAACTTGGCCCTTCTCTCTCTCTTTTAAATATATCCCCTCCATCCCCCCTCACCTCCACCAAAAATAATATTCAAAAAATTTTTCTAGTAAAAGCCAAAAACCATCCCTACCCCTTCCCTCTCCCTTTCCCCTCAATTATTTTCTTTCAAAAATTTCATCAGAATATAACACATAACACAGAAAATTACAATTTAGTGGATAATAAGGATTGAAACGAGAATTTTACTTTTTATTATTTATTAAAAGCTGCAAAATATATTTACAAAATCCTTAAATAATTTTATATATATTTTAGTTTTGCTATTTTTAATTTATTTTAAAAATAATTTTGAATATACATTTACAATTAAAATTAAATCTTTTTAAATATATTTTTATTTAAATATTTTTTTGAAAACAATATTTAATAATTAATTAATTTTAAAAATAAATTATAATTAAATTATTTTTTTATTTAAAAGTTAAATTATTTAATTTCATAATTTTTGTCAATTTTTCTTTACAATTTTAGCTTCTCCTTTACATATGTACTAATAATATTTTTTCTATCTTTCCTACATTATTTTAAATTTTATATTTTAATTACTTTTAAATATTAAATTTTTCTTTATTAAAAAAAATAATTTTGTTGCCTAGGAAAAAGTTTAAATTAAAATGTCTGTCACGTAAATTATTACCTAAAAAATTATATGTATATTAATTAATTTTATATTTTTTAGACTAAACTTTAAAAAAAATTAAATTCTAAAATTAATTTTTTTTAATTTAAATTACCTAAAAAGTTTAATTTTTTTTAAATTTTTTTGACATTTTTTGTATAATTTCAAAAAAAATATTTTTTTTTATTTTTTCAAAATAATTTAAAAACAAAAATATTTTTTTATTTTCTCTCCTATTTTTCTTTAAAATTAATACAGTAAAAGGATTAATTATTTTTATTTTTTATGTAAATATATTTATTTTGTTCAAAAACAAAATAAAAAATTTTTTAAATTACTGTAAAATTATTTTTATTTTTTTAATTTAAATAAATAAAAATAATTTTTTATTTAATTTAAAAAATAGTTTTCTAAATTTAAATTAAGAATTGTTTTTAAATAAAATATTAATTATATTAATATTTTTTTTTAATTTTCTACTTTTTTTCCTTCTCTTCTTAAAAAATTATTTAAATAAAATAAATTTAAATAAAAATTTTTTATTTTAAATAATTTACATAAATTAAAATTATTTTTATTTTGAACATTTTTAAGTAAATATATTTATATTTTGTTCACTTTTTAATTCTTTTTTCTATTCAGAAATTGCCCTTTTAAGTTAAATTTTATTTTTTTATCAAAATATATTTTAATAAATTTATTTAAATTCTTTTTAAAAAAATTTTATAACTAAATTGTCCTTGATAAATAAATAAATAGAGCTACACATATTCTCTAACAACATCCTCAATAATTAATTAATTTAAACAATTTTGTCCACAGTTTTCTTTAATTTTCACAAATTATTTATGTATTTATTTATCTGTCCATCAAATTAAGTACAAAATAATATTTTTTAACTCTTTTAAGAAACAATAAAAATTCTTTAATCTTTTAATATTTCTAATAATTTTATCAGTTATTTTTTAAAGAAAAAAAAGTTTTGGAATAAAAAAATAATTAATTTTCCTCCAGAAACTCTCTGATAAATAATTTATAATAAATATTTGTTGATGTGTTCTTTTTGTTAAAAAAATGTTTCTTTTTTTTTATTTTTTATTGCAAAATTAATTTATAAAAATTAATTTTGCAGAAAAATTAAATTAAAAAAATTATTTTTTTAATTAAATTTTATTAAACAAAAATTAATTCCAAAAATTAAAATAATTTGAAATATTCTTTACTAATTTCTGTTAGTCTAAGTAATAAAATAGCATATGCTCTATTAATTACCCTCTTTCAAATAATTACCCCCGCTCTATTGATTACTCCCTTCAGCGAGAGATCGAAACAATATTACCCAGAGTAATTATTAGAGCATATACGGTAGGTATGAATTAAATAAAAATGAAGATACCGAATTACCTCTAATAGAAATTCTATTTTTCAAACACTTTTCGAAGGGACATTTAATTAGAGGTATTTTTAATATTAATCTCAACTTTCAATTTGTGTAAATTAAAATTATTATTTTTTATTATAATTTTAAATATAAAAATAAATTTAATTAATTAAATAAGTTAAAATTATTTAATTAAACATTTAATTTAAAAATTTCAACATTTAACTAATTCAAACCCCTCCCTCTCTATTTACCCCCAAAAATTAATCAATTTTATTAATTTTCTACATTTAATAATTTTCTTCTTAATTTTCCCCCTTTCCCCTCACCTCCTCACTTTAAATTATTTCCACATTTTATGGCATTTTTAGTATTTTCTAGTATTTTAAATCCTCAAAACTTTTAAATCATTTTTTTATTTGATTATTTGCTTCTCGCGTATTCCTTACCTTAATAATTTTTAAATTTATAAAAATAATTATTTTTAGTTAAAAATTAAATTAAAGAAAATGTCTAATGAAGATAATTCTTGTCAACGTTTTTTTGCTTTTAGCAAAAGAGTTCCTAGAGGTAATAATCTAAAATAAATTTAAATTTTAATTAATTTTAGATGTTAAAAGATTTTGTGGTATTTGCCGCCAACATGGGAAAATGGAAGAAACTAGAGGGCATATTTGTGAATTTAAAGATTGTGAATGTCAAAAAGTTAACAAAAAAATTAATTTTAAATATAAATTAATTTTTAGTGTAATTTAGTTAGAAGTAGACGTCTTGTTATGAGCCAACAAATCCGCCTTCGAAGAGCACAGGTAAATAAAAAAAGATTTTTAAAATAAAAACAAAATTTATAATTATTCCTTAAAAATCTTTATAAAAATTGTTAAATCAGTCTTTTGTTTCCGCTTTTTTGATTCTATTATACATATTAAATGCCGGACAGTTACATATAGAGAGTGATATTATTTAATTTTTATTTTTTTAATTTAAAAAAATAAATTTTGATTAAAAATAAAGAACAACAAAAATTTCTAAAAATTAATTTTCTCTTTAGGATAAACGTTTTCAACGGACAGACCGTCCAGAAGAAGCAGATGTAATTCCTTTACTTACTCCACAATTTCAACAGCAATTAGAACATTCAACATCTCCACAACAACCAACAAATGGGTTAATTGTAGATGATGAAATCCAACAACAAATGCTGGATATTAATGGGAAAAATATGTGTTATTTTTGTCAAAAATGTAAAAATCACGGAGTTTTGGTTTGGAAAAAGGTAAAAAATAAAAAAATAAATAAGCATAAATAAACTTTTAAAATTACTGTATTGAGGTTGGGAATTGTTTATTTGTTTTTGTGGGGGGTTTAGTAGATAAACGTCATGTTTAAAAAGCCCTTCTGATAAAATACAGTAAATCCAAATTTATTAGAAAATTAAAAGAGAAACAAAAAAGAATAATATTGTTTTGATATTAAATTAATAAAGTATTAAATTTTGAACTGAGGTTGAGGATAATTATTAAATTTATGTAATTTTCCCCCAAAATTTACATATTTTCATAAAAAAATTTTTTTAAATAAATTTTCTTCTTTTTAAGCAACATAAACGTCAATGCCCATTTACAAATTGTAGTTGTGATTTTTGTGAATTAATAGAGACAAGACGTCGTCTAGATCAACATTTGGGTAATATAAAAATATTTTTTATTAAATATTTAATTAATTTCCCTTAGTAGTTGCTCGACATAAAAATGAGGGATTTGGAAAAGGAAAATCTTCTCGTAATAAATTAAATTTAGAAAAAGGAGGAGAAGAAGAAAATAATAATTTAAATAAAAATTCTGAAGATGAAGAAAACAATAATAATATTTTGACTGAAGAACCCCCAACAAAAAAGAAATCAACAATTTCAATTAATTTAGTTGAAGAAGAAAATGGAATTGCTTGTACCTCTTCAAAGGAATTAGGGAAAAATATTAAATTACAACAAGAACCTTTGGAAGAGTTAAATAAACAAATTTGGAATATTCAAAATAAACAGCAACTTTCACCTAAAAATATTAAAGTAAGGAGGAAGGGGAGGGAGGGGGGATTTTTAAGAAAAAATAATTTTTAATTATATTTTTGTTAATTTAAAAATATTGAATACAACTAAAAAATTTGTTAATTGAAAGAATTTTTTATCTCGAAAATTTAAAAATAAAAAACAATTGTTTTTTTTAAATCAACTATATTTATTCCCGTATATTTAATTTAAATTTCTTAATTTTTAAAAGAACCTTCCAGGTACCGTAAAATGTGTCAATCTCTTCCCAAAACATTTTATAAAAAAATAATACCAGAAATTAAATTTGTATTTTAGTTAAACGTAAATACAGTATTTATTTAAAATTAAATATCAAAACATTTTTAACTTTTTCCTTTTAGTCACGCAATTCATCCTTCTCTTCTGTCGACAGTATTTCAACATTGCGTGAAATGTCAGTAGCACCTTTAATTAATGACCAACAACAATTACCACCACCTAATCAACAACAATTTTTATTTAATAATTTAAATACAAACATTTCCTCTTCTTTTCCAACAAATAATTTACCAAATTTTCTGCCAACTGAACAACACCAACAACAACAAACACAGAAAACAACTTCCCCTTTAGATCAATTTTTATTAAATTGTTTAAATCAACCAATTCTTCCTTTAAATTCTCCAAATTCAAAAACTTTCCAACAAAATTCAGACAATGGGAATTTAATAAATGAAAATGAAAATAATAATGAATTACAAAAAAATATTTTGTTACAAATTATTGCTCAATTATTGCAAGAACAACAAAAAACTAAAATTGCAGAAACAATTATTGGAGCACATCATCAAGCACTTTTAAGAAATTTAATTTTAACGGGAAATGGAAATAGAAATACAGAAATGTTCCCAACATTTTTTGATCCAACAACAATTTTTGCTACAAATTTATTAGCAGCCCAGCAAGGATTATTTTTACCCAAAAATAATTCTTCTTCAAATATTTCAGAAAATAATGAGCAACAACAACAACAATTACAAATTCAATCAGCTTTTAATATTTTACAATCAGGATTTGGATTATTATAAAGAAAGGGGAGATATGTAGGAAGGAAAGAAATGCTGAATATAAACTCCGTTCCAAAAAACCTCGACACCCCCCAATTTTTCAGATAAATCGACTTACGGTTGTCTACTTTTTTATAATCTTTTTATATACTGATTCAGCAGCAAAAACTACCCTATTTTACAAAAAATTTCTGCAAACTGATAATTTTATCAAAAGTTATGATAAATTTTCAAAAAATCAGGCGTTCCAAATATCCTCAAACAGTTTGTAAAATACCGATAATTACGGAAAAAAATTTTCTAAAATTTAACAAAAATTTCGATAAACATAACTATCAATAAGATACAAAATAGAAAAAAAACTAAGTCGAAAACTGCTTCCATCATCGAGATCTCAAATCTCGAAAATCAACGGAAAATAGGGTTACAGTACTTTAAAAAATATTTTATCCCATTTACAGCATATATTAAAAATTTTCTTTAGGCCTATCTGAAAGCCCATAAAATTTGCTACAAGATACAAAACAAGATATTTGCTGCTGAATTTGCTACAAGATATTTGCTGCTGAATCAGTATATAAAAAGATTATAAAAAAGTAGACAACCGTAAGTCGATTTATCTGAAAAATTGGGGGGTGTCGAGGTTTTTTGGAACGGAGTTTATTTTTTAAAGTACAAAATACATTTTTAAATAGATTCTTTAATTCTTTAAGGGTTTTTAACTTTTTATTTCTTCTAAATATTAATTATTTTTAACACTTAATTTCTAAATAACCCCCGGTGCAATCTGTTTTGGTTTCTAATTTTTATTTTTTTTGTTTTGATTCGCAACTCTATCGTTTTCTAATAAATACTGGTTAATATTAAAAATATTACAGTTAAATTTTGATTTTGTACAATCCTTTAAAGATTACTAAACTATTAATTTTTTCTAAAAATGAAAAAAAAACAAATTCAAAATTAAACTTTTCATTATTTAAATTATATATAACTTAATTAGTTAAATAGATTTTAAATTATAAATTAATTAGCCTTTTTCCCATTTTTATATTTTACACCCATTAAATTGCTCATAATTTCCCAAAAATTTCTTTTAAGTAAAACGACGATAGGAACAAAAAATATATTTTTTTTGTGACAAGTTCCAGATTTGTTATAATTTTATTAATTTCAATATGGATTAAATATTTAATTTAATAAATTAATTGTAAATACAGACTTTATTAGGCAGAACTAATCGGAACCTAAAAAATTGTTCTTAAGAAATTAGTGCTGAGATAAATTCTGTACCTACTATTATCAGTGTCTAATTTTATAAAGGTTATGCCAGAATTTATAAAATATAAATATCTTAAAAGATTAATTCTTTTAATTTATTTAAACAAAAAAATAAAGCAAAGAGTAAATGCTTCTCCTTTTTTTAATATTGCGATTTTATTCACTTTCCAAAGCATCGTCACATATATTTTTGACTATCATAAATTAATCACAATGCAAATAATTAAAGGAAAATTAAAAGAAAATAATTATATACATATTTAAATATACTTTAGGAAAGTATGTAGATATTTAATAATTAATATAGTCAAAATAAGGAATGGAAATGGGAATATAAAATTATATATATTCTATTAAAATAAGGACATTTCTTTTTAAAAATTAAAATATCCTCAAAATTAGAGCAAATAAGTCAAATCGGCACAAAATGGACGGTCGTTGTATTTATTTAAGACATGCTAAAACCAAATGCCTCAACAAATTGAATTACAAAATCTCCTTCTAGACCACCAGCTAAAGGCTCATTGTTAAATGTTGCACAATTTTGTGACCTTCCATTATTCTAAGAGGAAATTTATTTTTAAAAAATAATTAAAGTTCTAACCAAATCAGCATCCAACCAAAGACCAGCAGCTGTAGGGCATGTCGACCGAGAACTATAAATTATTAAAAATAAAATAAGGAAGCTAAATTTTTGTTTCCAACTATTTAAAAGTTTTCCCTACTTAACAGTTGGAAAGCAATCATAACCGAAACAAAAGATTAAAAAACACAAACAAAAAACAAAAATATAAGACTCTCAAGTATGTGTCAGAAAAGTTATAGTAAGCAAACTCACTTGGTAATTGAGCTTAATCCGCCCGCTCCAATTGACAAAAAATCTTTGGTTGCATTAACAAAAAATTGATTATCTCCAGTCCAATGGAATGTGCGTAACTCCCTAAAAGAAAGCAAATATTAACTCAATGAAATTAACGATTACCTAGTGTGTGGGTGCTCTCCTGTAAAGCGAAAAAGTAAACATGAATCGCCGGTTCCAACATAATGTGGTGGAGTTAATGGTTGTAAAGCTAAAAAAGATTTTTTATAAAAATAATTATTAAAGAGAAAAATATTATTTTTTAACTTTAATTAAGACTAATTTTCTCTCATCTAAATTAAAACAAAAAAGCTCTTTAATAATTTATCAAAACAATTACTAATCAATCGACTAAAAATTATTTTAATATATTGTTATCAATTAAAAGGTTAAAGACCGGTAGAACATACTGCACCAAAAACGTGGCCAACAACGTCGCGAATGATTAAAAGAACAGGAGACATTTCTTCTTTCCATTCAGACATTTTTCTACAAAATAATAATTACAAATTTAAACATTTATATTTCCATTTTTAAACCTGTAAAGGGTAGCTAAGGAGAATCCATGTTTCTCAGAACTGTATATATTCACCCAAGGATAACCCTAAATAATTAAAATAAAGGGATACTATTAAATTTAAAAAATACCTCGGCGCGAGGAGGAAGAATATCTACAATCTAAAAAATAATAAAATTAGAAATAAGCACTTATTTATTTGCCTAAATTATCATAAACAAAAAAAACTTCATATGTTTTTATTTAAATATCAAACAGAATAGATATAAATATATAAACATATTAATCACCTGTCGAATCATAAATTCGTCCAGCACTTGTGATTGAAGTGCACCTGTTTATTTGAAAAAATTTTTGAAGAAAAATGTTAAAGTTTTTTTATTATTTCCATTTTTGGAATAATTCTTAAAAATTCATTGACAGGTTAACGTAAAATATTATTATTTAAAAGTTAATTAATCACCATCTGGTAGCGGCAACTCTGATGGCTCTAAAGAGTCCTCTAATGAAAGACGACGACAAATCTCACGCACAGCGCAGACTTCCCATTCTCTGTCTAATTTTCCAAAGTGATGGGATGGCTTTTCACCTAAATCTTTCATATAAATTGAGATATAAGCTAACAAATTTATTTTTAAAGTGCGGATATTAAAGAATTTTTATCAAGAGGATACAGAGAAGATAAGAAAGATAAAGATAAAAATAAAGAATAATAAATTTTCATTAAAATAGGATAGATGGAAAGGAGATCTGTTTAAGAAAATAATATCCCTTGCCTTTTCCTTCACCATCAGCAGCAACCATATTAACCCCATTTGTGGAAAAAGCTTTCAACAGCTTGTACTTCCAAGGAGTGCTCCCCTTATTATTAGCTCCATGGATTGTCCAGTGTTTTGTTCCTTCATTTTCTTCTTCCTGATAGCTTTTTTTAGATTTTGTTCGGCGTCTAAATAAAAGAATTCTTTCGCTCTTTAGAATATTAACAGTCAAATCGCTTTTTCGTTTTAAAATCGGATTAAAACCGTCCTCTCTAGTTTTAACGTTAGAAGAGTCTTCTTTAATCAAAGAAGAATTAAATAAAGATGAAGTTTTACAATAAAATTCATTTTTAGAATTTAAGGTACTTTGTGTAGAATCAACAAAAATCGAAGAATTTCCGCTATCAGAAGAGAGATTAGCTAATTCTTCTAGTGTTGTTTCGCTATTGTTTTCCGCATTTCGAGGTTCATTCTTCTTCATATTTTGCAATTTTAATCGTACATCCATAAGCGCCTCCATTAATTTTTTATCTTCATTGCGGTCGGTAAAAGCACCTCCATTAAAGGTGGAATCAAAAAGAGAGCATGTTTTTGGAAATACTGGTGGAATAGGAAAGCTGTTATTGACATTATTATTTCCTCCAGAATGAAAAGACGTTGAATATTTAAAACCAAAAATTCCTGTTGTTAATTTTCTATCAAAAGAACCCCCACATCTTTTAGATTGAAATGCTTTGCGGCTTTTATTTTTATTTTCGTTAAGCAGCATATGTATAGAAGAATCGAGTGAACGTTTCTTACTAGCCGAATTTGACAGTTCCATTTGGTTGTATTGATTGCAGAATTTTCAATAATTTGTTTCTCAAGGTCAATTTAATTTAAAATTTATGCAGTTTATTTGAAATAAATAAAGGCGTTCAATGCTCTCGACTTTTTGGCCTATTAAAAGAAATGAGGCCTATTATATAATTAATGAGAAATGCAGTTGTTGACTACTGTGTTGTTTTATGTGTAATTTTAGTTTTATAAAATTATAAAGTCGTTTGTCATGTTTTATTGCCAGCCGTCTTTTGCGTAGTTATATTATTCAACCTTTGCCTTGTCATAAATAAAATTCCGGGCGGCCGCTTATAGAACAAATCACTCATCCATTTATTGATGTGGTTAAGAAATCTCGTGGGTGAAGAAATCCATTAGGTAAACAATTACTGCTTTGCTCAAAAATAATATGGTCAACAAAGTGCGATTTTTAATTTCCGCGCAAGTTAACTTATAAAAATAAAAGTGCTTTTTTAACTCTTTTATTTTGAGAATAAAATTTTTAACCCCATCAAAATAAAAGAAAGACTAACAGAAATTAATTTTAGTTAATCTCAGTCATGTCTAAATTGCTTAGACATTTAATTGATTATCAAATTAACGTGTAAAAAATTTTTAAATGTTAATTGATGAGATCTGGAACTTTCAATTCTAATTACACAAAATGTTATAAAAATGCGTAATCGGTCACGTAGCACTTTTAACTCCTTTTTCTATTACAATTTGCTTTGTCCATTTAAATGGTTGTTAAAAAGCAAAATGGTAAATCATGAAAAGGAGTATAGCGACTAATTTTTAAAAAAGAAGAATGAATGTTTGCGCGAAACAAAAGGAATATATCGAAGGTCTGCTACACCAAGATTTACCATTTTCTTATACTTTTTGTTAACCACCTCACTTTTTGCAAAACAATTTCGGCGGTCACGAAAGTTGTGAAAGTAGAGAAGTGCGCGAGTACAAAAGGTTTCTTTCTGTTTACAGACAGTTGAAGAAGGGAAAAGAATAATAAAAATGTGGATTGATGGCTGTTATAAGAAAATATAATAAATGGAGACAATGATGGGTGAAGTATAAAAATAACAATGGGAAGAAAAATTATAAGGAGAATGTAAAGATATCAATCCAGACAAAAGTAAATATTCTAAATATATTTTTTAGGAATTCAGACAAAATAAAATATTTTTTCCAATTTTATTAAATTTTATAACAATAAACCAACCAGTCAATGCTTCATCATCCACGTCTCGATCGAGAACAACAAATGCTCCAAAGTCTTGTTTTGTGTTTACACCAGTTGAAATCATCTCATTGGAGGTGTTTTCATCAACAACGTTTGTTTCGTCTGCAGAACTTGCTTTTACCTAAAAAAATGATTTTAATAAAATGAATTTAAAGTTATAAAATAAATAACAAGCCTGTCCGTATTTCTGAGGTGACCTAAAAATAAAAAAATAATTTTCAAATTATTTTTTTTAAATTAACCACTGTAGCAGAAAATGATAAATAGCATCAACACGACTTCTTGGCACGGCAAACCAAAATTCTCTTTTTCGTTTATTACCAAATAAACAACCACTTTCAAAAAAATCTGCTGCAGATAATGAGGCACCTGTAGAGTCAACAATTTCTTTCGAATTTCGACGTGATAATTGTGCTAAATTTAAAAAATAATACGAATTAAAAATTTAGAAAAATAATTGTCAAAAAAAAAATAAATTTTAAAATAACTATAATTAGAAAATATGATATCACACAGACTAATTCGTTAAAATAAAAACATAGTGTACAAAATGAATAAAACGATGCGTACACTTTGTTTAGATTTTTCAGTCTAAAATAAATCCTATTCTATCATCTGATGTTTTTAATGGCAATTAAAATGTGTAAAATCTATTTGTGTTTTAATAAAGAGTTGGATTTGCAATTTGATGAAACTATTTTGGAGGAAAGAGGTAGACATAGAGATAATGTGATTAGAAAAATAAAACAAAAACCGTTTAATTAGAATATAAAGAAAATGTTATGAATGATATGAATAAAAAAATAATTTGTTATAAAATGAAATTTCAATTTAGGTTTGTAGGTAAAATACTAAAAGTTCACGAAATAAGGAAAGTTTCGTTCAAGTCTGACTTAAATCAAAAATGATTTTATAAAAGGCCAATAAATTAAAAAATGTAAAATTATGAGCATGAATATTATTTAATCCCATAATTTAAAGATTAATTTGTAATAAAATTCTCAATAAAACTTACTTTTCTTCCTTTGTTGACGTGATCTATCCACTCTCACAGTCATATAATATGGTGGTTCGGGAGGGGAGTCGATTGAATTACGCTCATTTTGGCCATTGTTATTAGTGATGTCATTGTATTTTTGTTTCTTTTCAAATACTGAGCGTTCTTCTGATCCAAGGACAAACCTAATAAAAAAATATTAAGTGTAATTTTGAAAATATTAAAAGAATCCACGTGTTTAAAGTTAAAAGGAAAAATTAAAACCGATTATTTACTATTTGTTATGATTTTTTTATTAAATACTTATTTATGTATAATAAAAATAAAAACTTTTAGTGTATTGTTCTTTACTCAAAATTTTAAATAAATACAAAATCAATTCCTAACTTATGTCAAGGGAGAAAATAAAAAAATACAGAATCAAGACCCAAATCAGTAAAATCTAAGTTTCCACATAATTTACTATTAAGAATTATGCATAACTACCCAGTATCCAGTGCACGTTGAATTGCAGCTTGTTCTCTAGCCTGCTGTGTCCGTTGATAAAGTGATTCAAGGGTAGCAAGACTGCGTTCACGCTTCATTGTTTGTCTGTCAATCTGCTCCTGTTGTGGTTCGTTACTCTTAAAAATATTTTAATTTAGATTTATTATGTAACATGTCAAAATATTATTATAAAAATTCTAAAAATATTTACTTCATTTGATAATACATCCTTTACAGATTCAACAACTTCCATTACACCATTTTGACCTTCCTGGATCAAACCAGAACTTATATTCATGATAGAACCAGGGACAGAAGCAACAACTTTGGCACTCGATTGAATACCGGCCTGGATGTGGTCAGCTGCAGAAAGTGTGTGAGATACGACTCCATGGGCGACCTAAAAAGGTTTTATTTAACTTGGAAAAGAGTTTAAAAACAATCAACCTTTTGCGTTCCGGAAGCAACTGACTGTACTGACCCTTTAAAGCTGGTTGCTTTTGCACTAAAAATAAATTTAAATTATTTTTAAAATCGAATATAAATACCTTAAAGTCCTTCCAAGCTTTCCAAAAGATTTTCGAGCCATTCCAGGCGAATATCGAGAAAATGGTAATGGACTTCGACGTTGTGACTGTTCTCCACTCTTAGAGATATCAAGTGAATCCATCTGATTAATAAGGGGTTGGCCACTTTGATCGTTATCTTCGTCTAATTCTAAAGATGTAATCGCTTGTGCTCCTTCACTTAACCGCTTTTCATATTGCTTATTTACACCGTCAGATTCTTCTAAAAATCATAATTAATATTAAACTTATCATTGGCGGCCCAAAAAGATTTTTCTAAAGTCATAAAAGAAATCAAAAACTATTCATTAACATATATTCAACGGGTCTTCCAATGTAAATATCAAATCGCAAAATATTACCAACTGAAGTTGATTGTTTTTCACCATGCGGTCTCTTCCCCCTTTCAATAGCTTCATTTCTTTGTTGTATCTCCCTTTCCTCATCAATACAAGGAAGTAGTTCAGAATTAGAAATATTGGAAGATTCTCCGTCTGAAGAAGCATTTGAGGTATACGAGCCAGGTAAAAGAGTGCCAGCTGATGTTCCATAAACGATTGTTTGATCGCCCTCAAAACTTGCACCAAGCCTCTCTTCTTCATTTAAATCCGGTTTTGTGCCTAATTTTAAGAGAAAATAAAAATATAAAAACATTATACTCACCTTTGTCAAGGGAAGATATTCTCTGATTTTTGCTAATTGATGATGGACTTCCCTGCCTACTACCAGCAATCGACATTCCTATAAGAATTAAAAAACTAGAATATTAAAAATACTTCAATATTAAATTTTGGAATGATATTAAGGGATTTAATCAAAAACAAGCGTAAATAGCCATTCAGCAACAATTTAAAGACAAAAAAGAATTCTTTTAAGATCACCAACAAAACTTTAAATTCTAAAATAAATTACTCGGAGTTGAAGCAACTCTCTCTGGGTCAAAAATATCCTCTTCTTTATTTTGCTTTTCTCCTGTCAAAGAACTAATATGTTTGTAAACAGTTACAGAAATAATGCTTTCCATACTAAAAATTTCAAAAAAAAATTTAAAAATAAAAAATAAATACTTGGCAACCATTCCATAAAGGTCAGAACCTTTTTCTTGAACCAGAGGATGATCAACATCCGGGTCAAACATTAAACAGTTTGGTGTAACAAGTAAAGTGCCAACTATAGTCCCGTCAGATTCCGTTATTTGTTTTACCTATTTAAAATTAAAAATGAAGAAAAATAGAAAGAAAAAAAACTTTAATTTTCATGAAACGTTGCAAACAATCCTGATCTTCTGGATCTAATTCAGAAGCACTTCGGCCAAATTCAGGTTCATTATCGTCTTTAGATGAGATATTTTGAGGTTGAGAAGCAGTTGTAGAATGGCTGTTTAGTAAATTATTTTTAAAAATTAAATAAAAAAATACCGATAAGATTTATATGTATTAGCAAGAGCACTCCGCAAGGGAATTTCATTAGGCGGGATAGGAACTGCATGACCTGGACCTCTGTGAATTCCTCAAAAAATTTTTTTTATTTTTTATTAAAATTTACTATAATAATTAAACCTGAACTTTTTTCCTTTATTAATTTGTTTTCCAATTTTTCACTAGAAGAGACTGTTTGTGTCTCATCAAATGAAGGAACAAGAAGTTTTTGACCAGGAAAAACCTTAAAATAATTTTAAAAAATAATTAATTATTATTAAATAATTAATTTACCATTCTAGACGTCAATTTATTTAATTTTACAAGAAATCCCTAAAAAATATTTAAAATTTAAAACAAAAAAATAGAGACAAACCACAGTGCAGTCATGAGCAGCAGCAATACCTTCTAAAGTATCAGTGTTTTGAACTTCTACATAATTCATCTAAAAAATTAATTTTTTTAAAAATAATCTTTTAATTTTCTAAACTTTTTTCTAACAAAAATGTAACTTTAAAAATATTCAAGTTAACAAAAAAAGAAATGTATGCTTTTTCTTTTTTTTTCCCTACTTAATCTTAAATTCAATAAATTGTGTATTTTGGAAACGGCAATGAAAAAAGTAAAAGAAAAAAGAGAAAAAAAAAGATAGAGCAGAAAATATATAAAAGGAAGAAAAAACAAAAATTAGGAACGTTCATTGTTAGAAAGAAAGGGATGTTAAAATCTTTTTAAAAGAAAAAAACAATAAAAAACAAAAACTGTTAAAATAAAGTTTTAAACAATAAATAAATATAAAATCGAACGGAATAGTCAATACTACACACTTAAACAGACGAGAAAATAAGAAATGAATAAAATTATGCAGAAAGTTTTTTTTATTCAAATAGATAACACTGCATGAATTTTATTTTTATTTATAATATCATGTATAAAATTATTAATGATGAATCATAAATTTAAATATAGGATTCCTAATGCAAATAATTTTTGAGTGCTTTCACTGATAAAAAGAATTGAAAAACATTCAAAATATATTTTTAAGCATTGTTTCTTATGTACAATTAGTCATTGTTTAACATAAAGAGTTAAAAAGTTTACGAGCTTTTTTGTGAGTCAAATTTAAACCAAAATTCATTTTAGTTACATTACTAGTCTTTCAACTTTACTAATTCTTAATTAATCCAAAATTTACTTACAGTACTTGACTAAATTTTAAAATACTACAGGATTACCTTGCTAATCATGGCTTTGATTTCATTCTTATATGTTACATAAGGAAATTAAGAGATGTAAGATAATTTAAAAATTCAATCACTTGTTTTCCTCAAGCAGTTTCATACAAAAAAATAAATCACGAACCTTACTCTATCGCGATAAGTACCCAGCTCCGTATTTAGAACCTATGATCTCGTATTGTGCTTGTGTACCATAACTCTGGGTGAGTAGAGGAGTTTTCTATTTCCAAAAAAGATTTTATGGGATTTCAGAAAACCTATTGCAAATAGTTCTAATTCATGAAGCTGGTGATGACACTTCACTTTATTCTAATAGAATCTTATACAACTTTGTCTTATGCAAAAAAGAAAATACTAATGTGAAAACAGGAAAATTGGTCATTTTTAACTAATGAATGAAAAAAAAGACGGATAAGTATCTATGTAGATTACATTTAGTATGATTATATAATTTTTAAATATTTTTATTACCTCTCTATTAGAACCTTCGCCTAAATTTTGTTTCCTTTTCCATGGTGGAGTAAATCTACAATTCTCTCCATTTGTATTATTTTTACGAGGGGAGAGATCCAAAAACTCCATAAGTGTACTTGAATGTCTCTTCTGTGAATCTGGTTGTTGACGTGAAGATCTGCTGCGTAAACTTAAAGAACGGGCAGCTGTTTGTTGAGCTTTAACGAGTGCAGCTTCAGCAGAATTTTCAAGTTTTCGTATTCTTGAAGATGCTGACCGAATTCGGCGATCTAGACGAAACATTGTTTCTTTGTTTCTTTAAAGAAATATTAAAGAATAAATGAATGATTTTAGTGAAGAATAAATTCTTAAATAAATAAAAAGTTCGTTTGTTTTGAACTGAAGATTTTATATTGCTATACTTTTTGCTCTGAAAAGAAGGAAGAAATTGATAATAAAATAAAGAGGAACTAAAATAAACGCTAATATTTGATGTTTAGGGGATACTCGATTAAAAGTTACATATTAATATTACTTATATGTATAATTAAGCATTATAAATAAAACACAGAAATTGTAGATATGCCCTCAAATATTTATAGCTATTTCAAATTTTCTCAATATATAACTAAAAATGTTTTTGGAATTTTTGAGAATGTATGTAAATATGTATATCTTAAATAATATTGAAAAAAAATAATAGGCAATGTTTTATCCATTCACAACTAATATTTAAAGTTATTTAAAATAAATTATGCTAATAAATGGATGTAGGAAGAGGGATAAAAATAAACTAGTATTTCTTTGTAACAATTTTGTCAATTTTCTGGGTAATCAATTGAAATTCAAAAGTGTAAATATTTAAAAATGAACAACATTTTTAATTTGATAGAACCAAAAAAATTTTTTCTTTTCAATTTCAATAAATAAAAGGAACTCATTTTCAATCTGTTAACAATTCCCTCAACAATTATTTTAAATTTCTCTCACATGGGAGAATAGATGGATGGCACTACTAGACAAACTACTATCAATTTTCACAAACAAAGGCAATTGGAGAAATTCATCAGTCCGGGAATTTCTCTGTTATGGAAAAGGGAAAGGAAAATTAAAAAAAATTTTAAAGAATATTTAAAATAGAAAATGGTTGTTTTTTAGTTAAAATATATTTTAATTATTAGATATATTATATCAAAAAAGATATCGTCAATTTTAAGATTATTAAAAATTCATACATGATGAGGAAATGAAAAATAATAAAAACAAATTTAGATTTAAAGGAAACCATATATTTAATATAAACAATTTTATATCCTCCTTTTAACCCAACTTAAAGAAGCATATACTATCAATAAATTTCTCTATAAGAATTTATTTGCATTTATAAAGTCAAATGGAAAGATTAGAAAAGATTATTCACCATGGTAATTTGTTTGTTAGGATGTAAACGTGTGTTCTAAACATAAATATAAAAATGATCTTATTTTCAATTTTGAAAAAAAATTTAAAATAAAATTTTTAAAATTAAATTTTTAATAAAAATTGTTGTTACATCCATTCATTTGATGTGGCTAAGCAATTTAACAAGCCCTAAAAACATTTATATTTTAATTAATTAATTTCTAGCAACTTTATCTCCTTGAAATTCATTTCCGTGCTCTTTAAGGCAAAGCATTTCGATTCGATTCTTTTTCTGTTCGTGATTAAGAGTTGGCGCAAAAAGTGCCGATTTACAAGCAATTTGACAAGTTAAACTTGCCCCATCAATATTACAACAAACATGACCAGATTTTGAATTTAAATATGTTAAATTTGTTCTAGGCAATATTTCTTTTAAAAATATATTTATTTTATTTCAATTATTTATGTATATTTACCCTTATCTAAACATTTAAGTAATTCAAAATACTCAAAATCCTTGCATTGGGGAACTTGTTTATAATTAATTAAAGCAGAATGAATATTTTGGTGACAATTTGAAGGAATTTTACATTCAATTAAAGCTTTAAATATTTTGGAAATTATTTAAAAAATAAATTAGAAATTGGAAGGATTATTAAAATTTAATATTGAAATATTTACATTATTTTTTTGTAACAGAAACCGAGATAGGAAAGAATATATGTACCTATGTACATATTTCGATATTGAAATTTAAAAGATTTTTTTTAAATATTTTTATTCTGACATGAGGATCTTGAAAAAATAATTTACTGCAAACCATGTTTAACAATAAAATGAATGTTGTTTGATCGTTTATCTCTCTTTTGTTCACAATTTATTTCTTTAAATTGTGAGTGAAATATAATAATGGAAATTAGTATACAGTAAAAATTTTTATTATGCATTCTTATAAATAATTTTTTAAAATAATTTTTTTTAATTTTGTTAAATTTTTGGATGAAATTATTCTATTTTATTTTTTAGTGATATCAAATTGTAATTATTTTACTAAAATAAAAAATAAATTTACATATTATGTACTAGGTAATTTATTAACATTATTTCTTCCATAAACCAGAGTGCTCTATTAAAATAGAAAATGGAACATACAAACACAAAAAAAGATGATATGCATAAAAATGGATAAGATAAAAAGAGAATTCAAGAGAATGTATTAACATCTTTTGGCTAAGTAATATTTAAAAATTCTCGAGAAAAATGAAAAAGATGAAAGTTCGACTTCACAAGCTAAGTAGGGAATACGGGAATTTTGAATTTTATACCCACCTTCCATCATCAATTTCAGACTATTTGAATATTGCATCTAATAAACAAAATACTTATAAAGTAAACTTTCCAACAAACAATCCAGTTGCCTCCAACTTTTTAAATAATTTCGTAAAAGACTTAAACTTAAAAGAATGATGGCGCTTAATCTGATAGGGTAATTGTCAATTCAGTATCGCAGATTCAGCGTATTGGTTTTTAGATGATACATAAATTTTTGTTCGACTTTTTGTTCTATTAATATTTCAAAAAATTCGAAAGATCTCAAGATGCTTCACCTTTTTCATTAAACTGATCTGAGCATTTTACAAAAAGTTATGTCACAGGCATAAAAATCAAGAGAGAGAGTTATGACCATATACTGAATCAGCGATACTGACTCGGCGCTCAACTGGCTAGTTCTAAATTTTTGGAGGGTTCAGCCCTTTTTGTTGCAAGTTTTTTGCTTATTCTCTCAGATTTTTCATGTTTTTTTTAACTTAAGCTTTGTTAAAGAATTTCGAAGCATGGCTGATGATGCTCCTTATTATAGAATAGTGCCATTTTCACCTCCACTTGATGATGATGTTTCCAATCTTCCTGATGATGGTGATGGTTTAGGAATAAGTTCGCCTAAAATAGAAAATGACCATTCAGAAGGTAAAAATTTAATCTGCAAAATTGGGCATGTTTTTAATTTTTAGTTGAATCAAATTGTGAGGAGAAATACACAAATAGTGGATATTTTGGAATTAATTCTGATATTGGTGCACATAATAATGAGGTTAAGTCTTTGGTTTGTATTTATATTAAAATTAATTTAATTATTATTATTCTGTTAGCGAGTTGCAGCAATTGGTTAGATAAATGTTTATTAAAAATTTAAATTCTAGTTGACTGAAGAAAGGTTGAGACATATGGAAGAATTATATCAACAGCATTTGATTGAACAACTACCTGTTTATTATCCGGGCATTTCTGGATGTAGAAGCGTTGTGGAATTTGAATGCCTTAATAAAATTTCTGAAGGTACATTTGGTGTTGTTTATCGTGCCAAAGAAAAGAGAACAGGTTCTTTTTATTTTTTACATTTTTATATTTTTTTCAATTTTTAGATAAAATTGTGGCTTTAAAACGATTAAAAATGGAAAAAGAGCATCAAGGTTTTCCAATCACTTCCCTCCGTGAAATTAATATGCTTCTCAAATGTGGAAATCATCCTAATGTTTTGAATGTTAGTGAGGTTGTTGTTGGCTCAAGTATGGATAAAATCTATCTAGTAATGGAATATATTGAACATGACATTAAATCTTTAATGGAATTGATGGAATCTCGCAAGAAAAAATGGACAATTCGTTAGTTTTTTCCTTTTTAGTTTTTATTTTAAATTTCTGAACTTAGTTCGTCTGAAATCAAATATCCAAAAATGACTGAATTGAAGATTTGCAAATATCCCTAACCCTTTTGAAAATTAAACTCAAAAATATTCAAATCACTTATTTTTAACTTTTTAGCTCAGGTTAAGACCCTAATGCATCAACTTCTCTCTGGAATAGAACATATGCATGAAAGTTTGTTTTCTTTTTCGATTTTACTTATTTTTTAAGAATATGTAATTCATCGGGATCTGAAAACTTCCAATCTTCTACTTTCACATCTCGGTATTTTAAAGGTTATTTTATTAAATTTGAAAGTTTTTCTAATCTAGTTTTTTAATCAGATTGGCGATTTTGGTTTAGCGCGTGAGTTTGGGGAGCCATTAAAGTCTTACACTCCAATTGTTGTTACTCTTTGGTATAGGTAATTCTTTAAAAAAATTTTAAATAATTAAATTTATCTGGCAGATCTCCTGAATTACTTCTTGGAACTGAAGTAAAAATTGTTGATTTATTGTATAAAATTATTTTAGTTTTATTCTACTCCCGTTGATATATGGTCTATTGGGTGTATTTTTGGTGAGTTCTTGAAGTTGGAGCCTTTATTTCCTGGAAGAACGGAAATTGACCAAATTCAAAGAATTTTCAGAGTATTGAATTTTTCCGATTTTTATAGTTTTTGATTATTTTAGGACATAGGAACTCCAAATGAACAAACATGGCCAGGATGTATGGAATTGCCAGGAATGAGGAATGGTGTTTTTGTTGACACCCCTTTTAATCAATTACATCGCAAATTTAGTTCAGCATTGCCTGATGATGATGGTTATCAATTGTTAATTAAGTAAGACTTGTTATTTATTTAAGTACCTTTTATTTTAAGATTATTGACTTTGGATCCATGTAAAAGGCTATCGGCTAAGCAAGCACTGGAAAGCAAATGGTTCCAAAATAATCCAAAGCCTTTGCCACCCTCATCCTTCCCAACGGTATGTTTTTAATTTTTGTTTTCGATATTGTTGACAAATTATCGAAAATGAGTATTTTCTTTACATTACAGTGGCCAGCAAAGAGTGAACACAATAAAAGACCACCAAATGAACCTTCGGCACCGCGCAAATCTATTGGCGGTTTCACTCTAAAATTCGATCCTATTTGATTTTAAATTTTTCAATATTTTTTACATTATTTAATAAATTTTTTATTATTTTCTTTTAAAGTTTTGCATTTGTTTTTACAATTTTTATTATTTCTCATCTTTTCTAAATTGTTTAATCACTTTTCAACAATAAGTACAAATTTTATTTAAATTACCAAAATGTTCTGGAGTACAATGGCGATAGAGGAGCGGGAGATCGATGTCAAGTTAAACTCTGAAAATCCAAAATTGGAATCTATTCTCAATGATGTTCATTGCCTTCAAGAAATAAGAAATTCAAACGGACAGCTAATGGACTTGTAAGTAATTTAACTTTGAAAAAAATTTATGTTGTTGAATTTTCTTTTAAATTGTTGCTATATTTTTTTATTATTCTAGTCTCAAGCAAGAAGATAATCTTCGAAAACTCATTATGGCGATAATCACTCCAGTTGATGAGGAGGCCGATGAACAGTCTTTAAAAAGCGAATATAGGTATTTTACATTTTCCTTATGTTTGTCATTTAATTTATTAGAGTTATCTCTCAATGCTGTGAAGCTTTGTGTGTCGGGGCTAGGGAATTTTATCCTGAATTTGAAAAATACCCTCAGCTTCTTGAAGAGCTTGCAGGCTTTTTGGACAAAAATCATGCACGCCTTAATCCATTGGTTGCCAGGTTTTTAGTATTTTTTACAAAGTTAAATAGTGTTCCTTATTTTCTTCGTTCAGCTTTTATAGCCGTGTGGTCGTTTGTTTTCTTTCTACTGAACCAGAGAAGTTTCTAGATATACTTGAGAAAAGTAATTTTATTGAGAGTTGTATGAACGGTCTGAAGTTTTGCTCTCTTTTTGAACTTCTTTGTACTTTCATGAATTGTACACCCGATCCGTCTATCCGCGATAGAATTAAAAGGGTTAGCTTTCACATATTTTTAAATGATTTTTAAATTTTTTTCTGTTTTAGTGGTATGTCGATAAGGGGTTTCCTCAAAAGCTTTTATGGCTTCTTTCTGCTGAACAACCATCCTATGTTCATGAAAATGGAGCTGCTTTATGGGTAGAATTTATTAGAGCATTACGCGAAGTCCAGTATAACGTTGAACAGACTTTTGGTTTGAATTTTTAATATTCTATTCACTTAGCAATTTTCAGACCCTCTCCTTGAAGCTATACAATCTGAGGAGATTGTGACTAAATTACTTTCAATGATGTTTCCAGTTGATGGAGGTAAATTCTCGGCATCGGTTTGATATTATTTAATTATTTATCAAATTTAAAAAAAATCTTTAGATTATTTCAAATGGAGCTTTGGTTTTAAATGTTCTTTTAGAAACGAATCAAATAAGGAATTCTCCTAGTTCTATTCTGGCGCAAGAACTTCAGGTGTTTTTGTCGCTTTTCTTTTGAATTGACCTTTTTTCTTTTTGTAGGGTGCTTCAAGCGTCAATAACAATTCTTTACTTGATGGATATCAAAATTGTTCATTTAATAGTACGGATAATTCAACATCCTCAACTGGGCAAATCTTGATGGATCCAAAACGAATTGTGGAAACTCGCTGTGCTGAATATGCATCTAGTATAATAAGTCTAATACTATATGGTCTTGATCCTGTTAAAAATCCTAAAATCTATATCCGGCACAATGACTCAAATAGAATAATTGTTCCAGCTGATTCTAAGGAATCGGAGGTAAATTTATTTTATCCCTTTAAAACAAAATATTCAGGATGTAATGATTGATGATTTTTGCGACGATTTTGTTCACAATTGTATGCAATTGTTAATTAATTTAACAAATACAAATTTTCTTCCGACTCATTTCGAACTGCTCAGGGCTTTCTTAATTCCTGAAACCTCTTTCAATAGTTTCTGTGAACAAATTGAAGTAAATCCTTGCCGCTCAATTTTTAATACACAATTTGTAACTTTCATTCTACATATTCTTTATTCAAATACTGGAACAACACAACAACCTCTTATTGACTTTCTCATAAAGGTACTTGAATTATTTTATTAAAGGAATTTGGAAAAAATTGCCAAAAAATTTAGGACTTCAATTTACCTGCCTTTATCTTGAATGCTCTACCTGACTCGTTATGGGGAGATGATTTTAGTTTATCGAGCGACAATAATATTTATTCAAATAAACTCTTCTCCATTTCTAAGCGTAGTTTATTTCTTTTTCTTGCCAATCGTTTGTTGTTATCTCAACAAAATTCTCCAGTAGCGGACTATATAGACGAAATGATTAAAGGTGAATATTTAACATTTTATTTGTCAATCTTTTTATAGAATCATCTGTTTACGAAAAATGGCATGATTTTTGTACAAGTTCTGTCCAGTCATTTATTGATCAGAATCGTTCAGAGAAAATTAATTCCATATCAGTCAGTGGCAGGACAAGCAATTTTATTGAAGTTGACGAGTTGCCCAATGATAATGTTTTAACTCTTCCAAATATAAATATCGATCCACAGGTTGAACATACACTTTTTAAATATGATAATAAACAAATTAAGATTACTCATTTAATTGTGGATGAAGAAGAAAGGAGGGGAGAAGCTTTAGGAGTTGACAGGCCGAGTCAGCCGTCTCCAACGAACAAAGAAATTGAAAACAAAGGTAAGGAAATTAATTTTTGGTTAATAAATTTTTGATTTTTAGATCAGACAGATCAACCCACTCCATAAAATTATTTGATGGTTATTATAAATAAAAATACATGACATGAATCTGAATGACTTAATATTGTTCAAAAATGTTGTTTTCGTTTTATTTCACTTTGATTTTGCTATAATTCATTAATTTAATATTTAATTTAGTTGATTATTTTTATATACGTGTTTGAACGACATGAAATATTTTTTTAATTTTATATTTGAAATAATTTTAATTCTGCTCTTTTTACGAGAAGAATGTCTAAGAGGAAAGTTTTGCTCATGGGAAAGGCTGGAGCTGGTAAAACAAGTATGAGATCGATCATATTTGCTAATTATATTGCAAGGGATACAAGCCGACTTGGACGTAAGGAGTTCGTTTTTATGTTACATATTATTTTTCTTTTTAGCTACTATGGAGGTTGAGCATGCGCATGTCAAGTAATCGCGTTTTAAATGTTTTGATCCTATTTTAAACAAAATATTTAGGTTTCTTGGGAATATGGTTTTACATTTGTGGGACTGCGGGGGTCAGGAAATTTTTATGGAAAATTATATGACGGCACAGCGTGACCAAATTTTTAAAAACGTTCAGGTTCTTTTTGAATTACAATCGATGATTTTAATAATCCAAATGAAAATTAGGTACTTATTTATGTTTTTGATGTTGAAAGTAGAGAAGTTGATAAAGACTATGGGAACTATCAGTCTTGTTTGGAGGCTTTATTACAAAATTCGCCTGCTGCCAAAGTTTTCTGCCTTGTTCATAAAATGGATCTGATTCAGGAAGAAATGAGAGAAAAAGTTTTTATTTTGATGATTTTTAAATTAATTTCTTTTAAGGTTTTTCAAGACAAGGAAAAGGATATTAAACAATTATCAGATAATATTACTTGTAGACAACAAACGTCAACAGTAACAATTCAATGTTTCCGTTCTTCTATTTGGGATGAAACTTTATATAAAGCTTGGTCTGCAATTGTTTATCAACTTATACCAAACGTAAATTAATTTAAAAAATGTTTATTTTTTTTTGTTCTGCAGATCACTTCAATGGAACAAAAATTGAAAAAATTTACAGAAATTGTGGATGCTGATGAGGTAAGTTTTGAAGTTGATTAAATTTATGGTTAAAAAAAGCTTCAAAGAATTATTTTCCTCTGCCAGAATTTTTCACTTATTTTATTGTATTTGGGTCGAACCTGCCTAATTTACTACCATTTTGGGTTTTAAAAAAATTTTATTTTTCCGGTTTAAACTAAATTCTAATGAATTCTTGTTTAAAGGTATTATTGTTTGAGAAGGCCACATTTTTGGTAATTGCCCAAGCGCAGAGAGTTTTACATGATGATATTCATAGATTTGAAAAAGTTTCCAACATTATTAAACAATTTAAATTGTCTTGCAGGTATTTGACTTTTTTACTTGAAAATTTAATTGTTTTAATTTTAGCCGTATGGGTTCGCAATTTGAGACAATCCAAGTATTTCCATTTTAATAATTAATATTAATTTCACTTTTGTTTGTTTTAGATACGTAATAGCACATTTGCTGCATTTATTGACTCTTTCACCAACAATACGTATCACTAAATTTATCATAAAAATCGAAAATTTGACTTATTTTTAGTTATATTATGTTGGTACTTTCGGATGGGAATGTTTCATCTGCGGCTGTAATGATGTAAATTGTTTTTATTTATTAAATTCCTATTTTGTATTGATTTAAAGGACAGTCTATTAATTAAATTTTGGAATTATTTTAATATAAATACTAGAGATGTGCGAGACTCTTGGTCTTGGAACCAAGACTTTTCTTGGTTTTTTTTCGGTCTTGGTCTTGGGGTGTTTGTCTTGGTCTTGTCTTGGTTTTATTTTTTGGTCTTGGTTTTTTGGCCTTTTTGGACCTAGTGCTTGGCCATCCAAAATCCTCAAAATTTTCGCCTGCGGCGCAGAAAATGGAAGAAATCGGCTCTTGAGCTCCAAAATTCAAAAAATTTTCGCCTGCGGCGCAGGAAAAGGAAGATTTTTGGCTTCTTTGCTTTCATAATCCTCAAAATTTTCGCCTGCGGCGCTAAATCCCACGTTTATCCCTCTTAATCTTATGATATCACTAATATCCCGTTAATCCACCCAAACCCTCTGAAATAATAACCTATTTTATTGATTTTCCACAGAATAAATTCCCCGAAATTCTTTGAATTTCGCATAAATTTTTCGAAATTATAGATAATTGTGCTGAAGTTGACTGTGATCGTATCAAAATAACAAAAAATAAACCAAAAATTTGACCTATGGGATTTAAAAATTTGGTCTTGATTTTTGGTCTTGAGTCTTGGAGTTTTGGTCTTGGTCTTGTGTCTTGGTCTTGGAAAAAATTTTGTCTTGGGTCTTGAGTCTTGAGTCTTGGAAAAATTTCGGTCTCGCACATCTCTAATAAATACCAAAGAAAATTATTTAATTCCCCTTTTGTTGGGTTAATCTTCACTCAAAATCTTTTGCAAATATTTTAATAATGGATTTTTTATTTGTAGGAACATTCGGAATGCGCGAAGGCATTTTGAGAAACTAGATTGCAGATGAGTGAGAAAATTTACGTTATACAAAATATTTTTAATATTCAAATTATTTTATATGCAGATTTCTATTTGATTGTAAGAAATATTTTGTTGAATATAAAACATTTAAACAATTTTAGAGTAATTTTTTAGTTTATTTGACCTTTAAGAATAATTCTAAAAATGATGCCAATAAATTCCAAAATGTCATTTTTGATTTTAAAATACATAAATTCTTTATCCATCTCCTAAACAAATATCACTACCGCACTTTGTTGACTTCGCGCGTTTTTCAGCTGTAACACTTTCTCCCTTAATATCTGGGTCATCTTGCTTGCTATTCTTTTGCGGAAGTATGAGGGGTTTAGATGAAATTATCGCTAATATGTACTTCCTCTTTTAGTCAAAGAATGGGTTGGGGTTTGTCTTCGGGATTCACCCAACAGATATTCTCGCTCTCATTCCTCTTAACTAAATATTAGACGCAGTGTCTTTAATTTTTCTTTTTCAAATGCCCTCTAAATGACAATTTTATATATTACTATCATATTTATCAACGGAATTTAGTTTTCTCGCCGATTTGATTAATTTAATTGGATTTTTTAAATCATATCCTGTTATTAAAATTTATTTAAAAAATAAAATATGGGCCAAAAAACAGATAAAGAGAAAAAAGTAGAATTAGTAGAAGAAGGCGAAAAACTGCAAAAAAGGCCTGGTTCGGCATTTAGTCGTGAATTCCAACCAATACGAAATCAAAATATTAATCCTATTTGGCGATCACGAGTTGAGGTATTTTTCTGACATTTAATAATTAAAATAAATAATTACAGCATGAACATTCTGTTAATAAACAACCACAACAAATATATGGTTTTGTACCCGTAAAAGATCCTACGCCTGGATTAAATACAAAAGCATCCTTGTATGGAACTACGATTAGACCTAGTCCTCAAAAACAAATCCGTCCACCTCCAGATAACTTCTTGCATTCAAGTAAATATTTAAATTTTGAATATAAAAATTATCATTATATACAGTTTATGCTCCACCAAATATGGTTCGTCAAAAATGTAATAATGGCAATACGCCTCTCAGAGGTCTTCAAATGCAACATCAAGATGTTGGAGTAGCGGAAGCATCTTTTCAGAATAATCATATTGGTTCTAGACCTGGAAGTGATTTGGGGATGTGTAAGTTTTGGAGAAAAATTGAAGAAATTTTTACATAAACTATGATGTTTTTAACATAAAAAATTACAAACAAAATTCACAAATAATTTTTTAGATAAAATGATGCCTTCTCGTTGCCAATCTTACACAACCTTGCCTCGTCCTGAACCTGAAATATTAGACGAGATTGTTTATAACAACAAAAATCAACAAATATATGGAGGACAGGAAGAGATACATTCACAGGTATTTTGTAAAAATAATTTAAAAAAATATATTTTTTTCAGTTTCGGGCACCTATTAGAAGTGTTTCACGCTCAATTAATTCCAAAAATCCATCTATTAATTTTTCTCCTTCACACTTTCCCTATGCTAACGGTGGATTTGTTAATCCAACAAATATAGAAAATAATTTTGATATTAATTGGTCTTCTGATCATGAGACAGAAACTATTCCATGGAGTACAATATCTTTAACTAGTTGGTTAACTGTAAGTTTTATTATACTTATATTCACACTTTTTTTGTATCCACACGTTATTTACAAACACAAAAGTTAGAAATTTGCCCATTATTTCGATGGCAAAAATAATTTTGTTTAAATATTTAATTTAAATTAACATTTCTTATATAATTTTAATTTATTCAGATAGTTTTTGGTTCAGCAATATTTTGTTTAGGAGGTGTTCGTCTTTATTGGCGAGCAGATTTTGCTAAAGGTCAAGAACTTTTTTATGGAATTTCTGCTATTTGTAATGGTTTAGTTGGCTTTTTTGCTAGCCACAATAAAAGTTTTTCAATGTTTGTTGCTACTTTTTTGTTATGTGCACTTAATGTTGTATTTATTTTTGTGCCGTTCCTTTCGGGTATTTTACTTAAATTTAAAGAAAATTTTTTCTTTTCTTTAAAAAGGCATTCTTCCTCTTGTTCTCTTACTTTCAACAAACAATAAATCACATATTAGCCTAACAAGTACAAAAGAGCCCGTTGAAGTAGACATTGGATTAGCTGTTTTGGCTCTAATGCAGGCTAGTTTAAAAAAATAATTTTTTCACAAAATTAGTAAATTTTGTTATTTTCAGTTGGCTACAGCTTTTAGTTTACTTTTATATGGATGTAAAGCTTTTGGTGCTACAATGAAACGTGTAGAACAATTAAAGATTTTAGCTATGGCTTTTAATTTAAAACAAAATAATGAGAACCAACAAAAAGAAAATTTATTTAATAATTCTGTTAATTGTGGAAGAATTTAAATATTTTTTGGATAACATTTTTATTTATATATACCTAAATATAATAAATTTTTATAAAAATAATTTATTCAAATATAAAATAATTTAATTAAAATTTATATTTTATAAAAAATTTATTTCAATTTTTCAATAAATTTATTTTTTATTCGAATAAATTATTTTTATAATCATCTAAAAATTAATAAAATATATACAAAAATTCACGTATAATACTTGGGAATGAAGATTCTCTATTCTTGATGCGAAGGAAAATTCAAAAAAGGAAGTATTTAAAATAGGGTTGCACCCCAAACGCTCGGGGGCGGGTATTTTGAGGTACGTGGTTTTCGAATTGTTTCGGGGCTGGGTTCGGGTAAAATCGGGCCGGGGTGCAACTCTAATTTAGAATATACATAAATAAATTTATTTAATTACTATATTTATAATATTTATAATTATTACCATATTAATATATATATTTATCTAATTAATTTAAAAATATGACAGAAAATCTACAAACTCCATTTCTATTTTTGTTACCGAATTAAAGCTTATTATCTAAATTAAACAAATCATGTATTTACATATTCCAAATTAATTTTTAACAATTAAATTTAAAAAAATTTTGTAATTTTGTTTGTAAAAACTATTAGGTAATTCCAGTTATTTTTTTTCTTTTTTTAGAGTATAAGGAGAAGTTTTTAAATTATTTTCCAAAAATTTTTGATTTATTTAAACATGCCATAGTAATTTAAAAAAAAATTAATTTTTGAAACCTAATTATAATGTAAAAGGTTTTCTTTGCAATTGTCCACGTAATAGTACCTTAAATAAAATTAATTTGTACTTAATTTCATTTCCAAAAAATTTATTTAAAATTCTTCCTTATTATAATTTGTATTTATATTCTTTCTATTTTGTTGCTAATTTTTATTAACTTTCTCCCTTAAAAAATTTCTTTTCGATTTTTAATTATTAGACTTCAAAGAAATGTTAAAGGAGAATATTATAGGCTTTTTTTATTTAAAAGTTTTTAAGAAAAAAAAAGTTTCTAATGAGAAAAAATAAATTATTACCTTGACAACAAAAATTAATTTTCTTTTCCCCTTCCGATAAAAGAAAAGTGAATAATAATAATGAAAATGTAAATGTGGCATTGTTTATAAAATTAAAAAGGAGCTTAAACATGCGCGTTTCTTTGACACTCATTCTTTTTTAAAATTTAGAGAACAAGCTTTAAAAATAAATATTTTAAGTAAATATTTGGTTTTCATTGTTAATATCCGTTATTTAAAAATTAAGATTTATGTTAATTACACTTATTTTATTACATTTTATTTAAACCGCCGTTTATTTTTATTTTTGATACTTTAACCGTTCCCCTCTTTTTTTTTATTAATTTTTATTTTTATTTAAGAAAAAAAGCGAGCTCTTTATTATTTTACAAAATTATCTGATAATTATTATAATATATTTAAATAATGGGACTTTGCCAAAGTGAAGAAGAGAAAAAACAAACAAAAAATAGTAAAATGATCGACAAAAGTATACGTGAAATTGCTGAAGGGGAGGATAAACAAATTAAATTACTTTTACTTGGTAATTGTTTTTAAAAAAATAAATATTTATTTATAAATTATTTTAATTTATATTAAAGGGGGGGGGGAATTTAATTAGGTCCATATATTCTTCCCGCTTATGTTAAATCTCATTATTTCCAAACCTCTCTGTCGTGCCTAAACTTTAATTATTATAGAAGCAAAACAAAAAAGCATTCGTTTTTGAGAAATATTTTGCTAGAAACACTAAAAATTTCTTCAATTTCAAATAAATTTCTGAATTAATTTTTAATAAAAATATTAAATAAACAGGTGCCGGAGAATGCGGTAAAAGTACATTAATGAAACAAATGAGGTTAAATTAATAAAATTTTTGGAAAATTATTTTTATCTTTTAGAATTCTTCACAGCGATGGATTTACTGAAGAAGTAAATTTAATAAAAAAAAAAATAAAAATATTGTAAAATAAAACACCACATTTAAAATTATTTGATTTTAAATTAAATATTTATTTCAAATAATCTTTAAATAAATATTTTTTTTAATTTTAAGGAACTTTTACAACAAAGATCTGTTGTTTATTCAAATACTGGTATATTTAAATATTTAAAATTAAATAAATATTTTTTTCAAATATTTATTTAAGTTCATGCAATGGCCGAACTTCTTAGAGGAATGAATTTATATAAAATTGGATTTACAGAACCGAAAAGAATGGTAAAATATTTAAAATAATTTAAAATAGATGGAATTTTATAAAATAATTTTTAAGTAGTTTAGTTGAGAAATAAATAGAAAGTAAATACACTGCTCCACATAATTATAAGTCCACCCCTTTTTTCGGGATTTTTTGACTCCCAGTGATCCAAATTTTTTGAAAATTTAGAAACACACTTTTTAGTGAATAACTAACAAGGTGTGATTCGATTTTTGGCTGAATTTTTATTTAAAAAATTTTTAGACCAAATTTTGTGTTTTCGGCCTCCACAAAATTATAAGTCCACTTTTCAAAAAAGATAGTTCCAAGTTTAGGAAAAATCTACAAAAATTCTAGCAACAATATATAATGATATTATGAAAAAATAAAACTGAACTAGACCTATAACTTTGCCCGGAGCCGAGATCCTGAGACCCCAAAAATCAACGTAAAATGGGGTTTTTCAACTTTAAAAAATATTTTCGACCCCTTATGGATTACTGTAAATTTTGATTTTGGGCTCATTCGACAGTCCTTGAAATTTGCTACAAGAAAGCAATAGTCTTATTTTTCAGAAAAATTCCTTAGAGAGACACAAGGCGATAATCTTCTGATGCAGCAAAAAACGTCTAAATGCCCCATAAAATGCCCTATAATGACGATTAGAAATCTTATCGTCTTGTGTCTCTCTAAGGAATTTTTCTGAAAAATAAGACTATTGCTTTCTTGTAGCAAATTTCAAGGACTGTCGAATGAGCCCAAAATCAAAATTTACAGTAATCCATAAGGGGTCGAAAATATTTTTTAAAGTTGAAAAACCCCATTTTACGTTGATTTTTGGGGTCTCAGGATCTCGGCTCCGGGCAAAGTTATAGGTCTAGTTCAGTTTTATTTTTTCATAATATCATTATATATTGTTGCTAGAATTTTTGTAGATTTTTCCTAAACTTGGAACTATCTTTTTTGAAAAGTGGACTTATAATTTTGTGGAGGCCGAAAACACAAAATTTGGTCTAAAAATTTTTTAAATAAAAATTCAGCCAAAAATCGAATCACACCTTGTTAGTTATTCACTAAAAGGTGTGTTTCTAAATTTTCAGAAAATTTGGATCACTGGGGGTCAAAAAATCCCGAAAAAAGGGGTGGACTTATAATTATGTGGAGCAGTGTATACCTAGATTTTAATTACATTAATTTATTCTTTCCTTCTTTCTAATTTTTATAAAACACAATTTAATTTAAAGGAAGATGCTCGTTTAGTAATGGAAACTATTCGAAATGAAGAAGAAAGTGAACCTTTTAGTGATGAATTAGCAGCTGCAATGAAAAGACTTTGGGCAGATCCAGCATTAAATACCCAAACATATTCTAAACGTTTAGAATTTCATTTACACGATTCTGCTAAACAGTTTAGAATTTAAAATAAATAATTTTAAATTAAAAATTATTTTTTAAAGTTTTTTGGATAGTTTGGACAGAGTTAGCAATCCAAGTTATAGACCTTCTAGACAAGATATACTTTTAACCAGAATTGTTTGTTAATGAAAAGTTTTTTGTTTAATAAAAATTATATTTTTTAGAAAACTACTGGAATTGTGGAAATATCTTTTTTAATTAAAGGTGTTAAATTTAGGTAAATAAATAATTAAAATATTTTTTTTTACATTTCTCTCTATTATTTTTTAAAAATTTTAGTCTATCTTTTAAACAAATAATTTTAAAATACAAAAAATTTTAGAATAATTTAAAGTAAACAGAAAATTTTTTTTTGTATTAAAAAACTTCCTCAAAAATCGTGTTTTCTACGCAAAGTTCATTTGCGTGCAATATTTAAAATTATTTTTTGTCTTAAATAATTATTAAAATACATTTTTAATTAAATAAAGGGTTTTTGATGTTGGAGGTCAGCGTTCTGAACGAAAAAAGTGGATACATTGTTTTGAAGATGTTAATGCTGTTATTTTTATGGCAGCAGTTTCTGAATATGATGAAGTATTTTTTAATAAATTTTGAAAAAAAATATTTTTAAATTAATTTTTAAAGGTTTTATTTGAAGATGAGACAACTGTAAGTATTTTTTTTTGAAGAAAAAAATATTTAATTTAAAAAAATTTAAAAGAATCGAATGATTGAAAGTATGAGATTATTTGAAAGTATTTGTAATTCTCGTTGGTTTCTACAAACTTCAATTATTTTATTCCTCAACAAAAGGGATATTTTTGCTGAAAAGATTACTTTTGTTTCTATTCGAGTTTGCTTCAAGGATTATGATGGTACGCAGAATTTTTTTTAACTTTTATTAAGCAATATTTGGGATATCCTAAGGTGTCCAAAAATGTAGATACATACTCCCTCCTTAATAAGTAACAACAACGACAATTGTTGTTACTCTCCCCGATCACAGACTGGTGTCTGAATAAACTAAATCTTTTAAAAGATTACACAAATAATCAAAATAATTAACTATTTAATAGGTCCACAAACCTACGACGACTCAATCAACTTTATCCGAAGAAAATTTGAAGCTTTAAACGCAAATCCAAGAAAAACAATTTATGTACACCAAACATGTGCTACAGTTAATAATTAATTATTTTATTTATTAAAAAAATAATTTCTTTAAGGACACAGATCAAATTCAGCTAATTCTTGATTCAGTTATTTCTATGATAATACAAACAAATTTGCATAAATCTGGCCTATATTGAGATAGCAAATAATTTAAATAAACATAATTGTTTTTAAGAGAACAATTATGTTTAAAAAATAATTAATTTGGGTATTTAAATTATTTAAATAAGGGAATTAATTTGAGTGAAGAAAGAGAAAGGGAGAGAGAGGGAGAGATTCTTCGATGTAGTAGTCTTCAAACCGTTTAATGTTGAAGCTTGACTCATTCTCAATTAGTTGGAAAACATTTTATCGTGTTTATGAGAGACGAGAGCAGTCTGTAAATCACCCCAAAAATTTTGTGAAATTCGGTTGTACTTGGCAACAACAACAAATGAATTTTTTCTTCGTAATTGTACCTAGTAATTCCATTATTCTCGTGAAAATTTAAACAAAAAGTGTTTATAATTAAAAGTTGTGGGAAAATATTTATATTGAGTGGGTGTTAAGTAGTAATTAGAAAATGTCTAAATATTTACAGAATAAAAATGTTTGAGACGTAAGCAAAAATTAAAAGTTAAAAGAGTAAAATTAAATTAGTACTAAGAATTAATAAAATAAATTTTTTACAAAAAAGATTGAAAAGAGAATTCTTAAAATAATTTATATTTTTGTTGCAAAATTAACAAATTAATTTTCCAAAAATTAATTAAATTTATTTATTTTCTTTTTCAATTTCAAGCTTTTTTTAAAGAAAATAATCGATGCATTAATTAATCAGAATTATTTATAAAATCAAAAATAATTTATTTAATAAAAAACATTATTTGAGCAATAAAAAAACAAAAAAATTTGATATTTAATTTAAGAGATTGAAAATCCTTTAAATTTCAAAAACAAAATATACTCCTTTTTTTATATTTTAATTTCTTTATTTTCTTCTTTATTTTCTTCTTCTTTTCTTTCCCTCAATTCATTCATTTTAAAATAATTATCAGAAATTCTTCCATTAATTTTATCAACATTCAATCCACCATTATTTTCTTCATTTTGTTGTGTTATTAATGTTCTTTTAGTTGGCGGTGTTTCCATCTAATAAAAATTATTTTCAAAAATTCAAAAATAAATTTAAAAACTTTTTTTCCAAATTGAGGAATTAAAGCAGAAGAAATAGTTTCGTGTTGGGGTATATTATTAGTAATTATTTCTCTATTTCTAATTGTTCGAGAATTAAAATTTAAAAAACAAAGTTTTAATAGAGGCTGAATTAATTGTAGAAATGCTGCTCGAAATGATTCCTTAAATAAATAAATATTTTTTTAAATAAAAATTTTAAGTAAAAGGACTAGAAATAATAGAGAAACTTTAAATTAATTAAAATTTCAAAAAACTAATTTTTATTCATTTTATTTTTCTTCTCCTTTTAAAATATGGGGGGGGGGGGTAATAATTATTTTAAAAAATTGTGTTTCCCTTTTTAGAAAAATAATTTTAATTAATTAATTAATTTAAATTTACATTAATTAAAGCATAAAGTAAAGGATTTATAGAAGCAGAGACCATTCCAATTAAATGACAAAAAAGATAATTATATTGTGAAAAAGCAATAAATTCCAAAACATGTAAAACATTATAAATATTCATTGGAGCCCAAGCAATTGCATAAACGAGAACTAAACCAAGCAATAAAAACATTGCTTTTCTAATCGAAAATAAAGAAATTATTTTAAATTATTTTTTCTTTTACCTATTTCTTCGTTGTATTTGTTGTTTACGTTCTCCATGTACAGTTGTACTAGCTTTACCTCTACGCCTTATTGTTGAACCAATTTGTGAATAAGCTATTGCAAGTGCTGACAATGGAAGTAAATACCTCAAATAAATTTTAAGTAAAAAAATATTTCAGAAATTGATTTTCAGAATTTTTATATTTTCTTAAAAAATAGTTGTGGATTTTATGTAAGTATAATTATCAAAATTTAAATGATTTTCAATTTTTCAACAATTTTTAAAAATATTACTGTATAGCCAAAACTGTAAGTGTGTATGTTCTTCTAGAAAAAGGTAATCTGTCCCATCTTTTAACATCCTCCATACAAATTTGTGGTTGTTCTCTATCACAAATTGGTAACTTTAAAAATAAAATTAATTTTTAAACACATTTCCCCCAATTCTTTCACAAACCAAAAGTTCAACATTAGCCGAATTCCAAGGATCTAACATTCTTGCATATTCTGCAGAAACGGCTGCTCCATATGGGGCAGCAACAATAAAAGAGCATATCCAAACAAATAAATAACAAATTAATGGAGCTTTAGCAGCTAATCGCCATTTTACTGGACACAAAGTTAAAAGAAATCTGTCCAAAGCAATTAATACCTTAAATATTTGTATTTTATATTAACACAATTAATTAATCTCTTAGAAATGCCGTTTCTAAAAATTTACATTCAGGCCTTCCGCCTTTCTTTTATTTAAACCTTTTAACCTTTTTTGATGACAGGCCCTACCTACATTCTCATTTTGTATATCAAAATACTCATTAAGCTTAATTAAAATTAAAAAAACTTGCCAAGGTAAGGCAAGAGACAAACATGTTAACTGCTTGAATAGAGGCAACCAACTGACAAGCAAACTTAAAAAATATTTTTTTTTAATTATAAATTTTTAAATAAAAATATTTATATTTTTACCTTTCCAAAAGGCCAAAAAAAGTTTAAAGATAAATATAAAGTAACTGGGGCCGTAATTGTACACATTAAAAGATCAGAAAATGCCAAATTTGCAATAAAATAATTTCGAAGATTTCGTAACTTAATTTTAAATATTTCTTTTTAAAAATAAATTTCAATTTCAACTTGTGCAACTCTAGCAAAAGATAACAAAACAAAAAAATTAGCTATAGCTCCAAAAAAACAAACAGCAGCGTATAAACATAATAAAAGGGCTGGATTTGTATGCCGCCAATAAAAATGATTCTTTAAAAAATTAAAAGTTAATTATGATTACTTGACAATGATTTTTAAAATTATTTAAATCTTCAAATTCTTTTGAGAATAAAATTTTAGAAGGGAACAAAAAATATGAATTATTCTGGAAATTAAGACGTTGTTATTTTTAGTACCGATCATAAGAACAGAAAATAAATAAATGGAATAACTGAAAGAGAATATATGTACCTACTTTTTAATTAATTCTTTTAATTAAAAAAATATTTAAATATTCTCCAATTAATATTTACATAAATACCTGTATTTCCCTAATTTCATCTAACCACCCACAATCCATTTCTGTCCAATTGGAATGTTGTTCATTAAATTGATGAATATTTTTTGGTGAATTAGCAGAAACATCTTGTTGTAATTGTTGTCCAGAATTACTTTCTAAATTCATTGCTTTTGAGAATTTTAATTTCAAAAATTCTTTAAAAATAAATAAATTTTATTTAATTGAAATTTATTAATAAAATTTTTATAACAAAGTATTATCCAATAGAAAATGATTTTATGAGAATTGATTCTAAAAAAATAAACATTTAAATTTAAATTTAAAAAATGTTAAAAAATAAAAGTGTACTATTCTAATGTAAATAATTGAAAGCGCATCTCTTTTTTCTACTCCAATTTCAATTTACCTAAATTTCCTTCTTTATTTCCATTCCATAAAAAAAGGAAGAAGCATCCGAGCATGTCTTGACAGACTAAATAATACATAAACCTAGTAGTTTATTTGCCTTTTTGACATTTGTTATCCCAAACAAGAACATTTTTAGTGAAAGCAAATAAATAATTCTTAATAGAAAAGAGAATTGCGTGGGAATGTTAAATAAATTTAGGGAATAATAATAATAAAGATTAATCAAATGTCAGGTAAAACTTTGTAAAATTATGTCAGATTTGACCCAAGGTAGATTTGAAACCAAAGCTCAAAATACATTTTTGGTAAGCTCAGAATATGCTTTAATAAATAATATAAATTTAAAATAAATAAATAATTTACTTAAAGACTAATAGTAATTATATACATAAAAAAGGAAATAAAATATTTAAAATAAAAAGGAAGGATTGGGGCGCCGAACTTGAAGGTTCAAATTCGCGGTCTTAAATTTGTATGAATCCGAATTTTGTGGAATTGAGATTTACGGACAGGCAATGGAGTTCCTTAGACTTAGGAAATTCCAAAAATTCAAGTCTGCGGCGCTGATTGGGGGGTGAATTCTTGCTTCTTGGCCTTATGAAATGCTTATGTAAATGATTTTTCAGAATAATTTTCCGCTTATTAAAATTATGAAATAATCTTAACACAAAAAAATTTTTCAAAAAATTTTTTGAAAAATCCGAAGAAAATCATGAGTCTCGTATGGAATCATGGCAAAGTCTTCCATAGTCATCGAAAAATTAATCCACGGAAGGATTAATAAAAACAATATTATAATGTGTTGCAATCAAAATCTATTACCTATATATTTTATTTTTAGAATAAAATATACTAAATTAAATTTAAAAGGAAATTAATTATTTTAATTAATTTATGGAGACAATATTACACATTTTTTTTTCTAAAAATAAAGATAATGAAAAATACAAAGATAGAAGTTTATGGACATATTTGAGGATTTTTTTGGTTCATTTTGGCGTTTTCTGATTTTTTAATTCACGCACAATATACATAACTATTGTTTAATAAAAATCTTTTATTTAAATAAATTTTATTAAAATACTTTGAACAAAATAAATTTACTAAAATAAAAACTATTTTTAACTCAAATACATAAACGTCATCTGTTCAAGGAATTGTAATAGAGTTTTACTATTTTATGGTATTTTAACGAGAAAATAAATAAATATATATATAAATCCACAAATAAAGCTTTATTTATTATATAAAAGTGGTCACAGCAGGAATAGAAAAGAAGAAAAAAAATATTTTAAAAGATAAGTTTAAACTCTAAAAAGAGCTGTCACAACCAGGCAAGTTAATTGCTACTTTTTGTGACTTGTAAAGAACCAGCTGCTAACAGAAGGTGTTAAAAAAGTAGTCTTTTTTTAATTTTTAAATGGCAAATAAATAAATAGATTTTTTTATTAAAACACAGAAAAAAGATTTTTATTTTTGCGAAGAATTAATTACAAAAATAAATAAATATATTAGTTATTCTTATTTTGTAATTGTTCAGTCCTTCATCTACGTACTCTGGAAGTTTTATAATTTTACTTAACATAGATTGAGAAAATAGATTAATAATAGAGAACAGCCGTTTATTTAAAACACAAAACACATGATAGAAAATCAATTGTAATTAATTAATGCCAAGAAATTTAGAATTTTAAAAGAATAATTAATAAATATATTTTATTTTGTTAAAAAAATTTTTAAGGGATGGTAAATTAATTTTATATTTTATTTTAAGAAAGTTTTTTGAAGAAAAATTTTATAAAGTTGTTACCAGTACTGGTTATGCTCGCTCCAGAGCTAGAGCTCTGGTAGAACTTTATATTTCAACATACATAAATCCCATTTTTATAAATTGGCGGTGCTGATACTTGAAAAACTGTTAGTCAACAAAACTGCATTTTTAGGATACGATTATTCTAGTCCGAACGCCAAAACGAATTAATTTTTGAGAATGATGAATTCTCTTTTTAATCTTATATAAACTTTAAACAAAAAAATTATAAAAAAATTAATGACAAAGCAGTTCTAGTTTTTTATCCTTTTTTGTTCTTGTTTATCCTAATGAATGAAATTTTGTTGAGTGCCATTCTTTTCCAACCTAATTTTTTCTAAATTTAGTAAAAAAAAGGAAAATGGCCAACGGACTGTTATTTTCCTTTTCTCTAATTTTTTTTCACAAATAAACGTAGAGGAAGGGGGCATTGTGGCGGAAATAAAATTAATTGCATTGAAAAAAAAAGAATTTTTTGTTTAATTTAAAAAGAAAAAAAAGTTTATTATAAAAAAAAGATGTTTGAAAGTGTGTGTGTGTGTGGCAGGTTATTAACAGAGAAAATGTCCAAACAAAAAAAACTAAAATTAATTTATGTAGATGTTCAAAAAATATTTTTAAATTAAATTATTTTCTTTTCGGCTTAAATGTAATTTAATGAATTAAATAAAATAAATAAAATCATTACTGTTTATATTTAATTATTTTAATTAATTAATTTAATTAATTAATTTTCAAAAAATTAGATAAGAATTTAATTGTGTTTCTTTAAAATACCTAAATATTTATTACTTTAAATTAAACATTATTTATCTGCAATTTAAACTGAATGTGAATAAAAACAGGAAAAGCGTGGGGTTTTGTTGTTTAAGATTTTTGGGAAATTTTGCAAAAAGCGGAACACCAATAATTAAATTCAATTTCCCATGATTATTTTTTTCAATAAAATTTTAATTTTAGCTAAAAATTTAGCTTTTAAAAATCTAATTTGGTAAACTAAAGAATGGTTGGATTATTTCCTTTTTTGGTTAAAAATATTTGGAAAAAAAGTTTTTGGTTTTCTTAAAAGCGGAAAGAAAAAAAATAATCAAAATTATTTTAAAAATACTTTCTTTTTTCTCTTTAAAAAACTTAAAAAATTTAGAAGATATTTAGCATAAGCAATACTTACATATTTACAAAAAAAATTTTTATAAATAGAAAAAACGAATATAATAAATTAATTCTTTTTCTTTTTTTATCCATAAGCAATGGCTTTTTAATTAATTTTTTAGATAAGGAATTAATATATTTTATGGAAAGACATAAAAAAGGAATTAGAGGAATTGATACATAAATTTAATTTTAAATAAAAATATTTGTAGAAAATTAATTAAATATATTGTTAAGACAAGTCTAAATTTATTTTAAATAGTGGAAAAAACTTTCTGATTTTTAAGAAAGAGATCAGTTTATTAAAATAAAATATACATAAAAAGTAAAAGATATTAATTAATAATTAAATTTATTCAATATCTTTTTATTTTTTTTATACAAATTAAAGTATTTTGGGTAATTTTTAATGATAAAAATAATTTTTAGAGATTTTAAACAATTTTTATGTGTTAAAAGATTTTATTTAATATTGTTGGGCTTTTTCTAAATATATTCATTTATTTATTCATTACTTTATTTTCTCTCTCTTCTCTTCCTCTTTCTTCTTATTTTTCAAAGAATTATTAATCAAAAAGAAATGCCAAAGATGGCAAAAAAGCGCAGCTGGAATTTTTAAAGTAAAACTTTTTTATTGTATTTATTTTATTATTAAAAAACGCAAGGAAAGGAAGATGAAGGAGAAGAGAAAAAAGGAAAAAGAAAAAATAAAAGATTTCCGGTGCCTTTTTTAACAAACCACTTGGATGAAAGAAAATATTGAAGAGAAATAAAATATTTTTAAATATTTATATTTTAAATAGTCACGGGAATGTTTGATAGTTTTTATATATGAGAATAAAAAGCTTTTAAAAAATATTTTTTTGATTAATAATTTAAAATAAAATCAATGAATAAATAAATATTTTTAATAAATTAAAAGAAAAAAAAGAAATAAAATTAATTGAGTCAATTAAAGAAAAAAATATAATTATAGGAGAAGCTTTTTTATAAGATAAATTTTAAAAATTTTTTTAAAAAAATTGGTAGAAGAATCAAAATAAATAATTAACTAATTAAGGAGGAATTTGCTTTGAATTTTGAGCTGATCAGAAAACTTTATATTCATCAAATCTTCAACTTCAACTGATTTGGCTTTCATTTAAATTCAAATTTTATCCATTAAAATTTGTTAATTTTCTTTAAATTAATGCATGTAAGGCTGGTGAAGTTTCCTCCAAACATATAAACTTGGGAGATTATTTTAGGAAAACTAAATTCTCTCCAATTTTTTTATTTTCTGGGAGAATTTACTTGTGTTTTTAATTTGTAAATTCTTTATAAATTTAATAATAATTTTATTGTATTTTTATTTTTAAAATTTTTAAAATTTTTTAAAATAATATTTTTAATAAAATTTAATTTCAATTATTTCATTAACATTCAACAAATATTCGAGTAAACAAATAATTAAATTATTTAACTATTTAAATATTGCCCTCAAAATCGATTACCTGTCGCGCTCATTCATGACTGTCATTTATTTCATCAAATACCACGTATTTACCCCAATTTCCAGCCGCTCACCTCCAAATTTTCACTTCTTCCAAATTTTTCCCTTCATCCTCATTCTTTGCTCAATCAATCAAAAGCAATTTCATCATAACTTTTATGGAATAAATTTGAAAAAATATTTATACATTAATGCTTTTCTCTAAATTTTTATTATCTTATCGTTTGCTTTACTCACAAAAATTAACTTATCTTTAAAAAATTCTAAAAATTCTCTTTATTTACAATACATATAGCATTAACTAAATATAACAACAAACATTACATACATATATTTTATTTATTTAACTTACATTTTAGTTAAATTTAATAAAAAGATGGAAAACCATAAAAATAAGAATACCGATCCCTTAGCCCCTTCTGATTCCTCATCTTCATCATCATTAAATGCCGATAATTCCCCCTCAAATTCTACAAAAAATCCATCTTCTACAAAACAACAACCACCTAGACCCCCACAATTACCTCTAAAAATCCCCCCTCCCCCATCCGAACATCCACCACCCTACACGTAAATTAATTAAAAATTAAAAAAAATTTTTATTTTCTTTTAGTCCTTTTGGGGGACAAACACAAAATTCTACACTTTTGGCTAATGCCTCCTCTTCACAAGGAAATGCCAACACAAATCGTCGAATTGTTAGGCCTCCAGGCATTCTTTTTAATTTTTAATTTTTACAAAATAAATATTTAATTTAAATAAAGGTTTTCGTAATTATTTAACAACCAGAAATTTATTAATTGTTTTTGGAATTATTTTGGCGATTATTTTATTTAAAATTTTTGTTTATGTTATTTACAAATCTAATGAATCAGATGACGATTTAAATACACACAAAGCTTTAGAAGATGATCATAAACCTTTAGTATTTTCTCATATTGGATTGGGGGCAGTTAAAGGAAATAGGTAAAGAATAAATAATTATTAAAATTATCGTTTTCAATTTTTTTTTCTAAAATTCCTAGATTTATCAGAAAAAATTATAATTTCAATAAATATTTTAAATTAATTTTTTTATTATTTTAAGAGATTGGATAAGTTTTGATGAACAAAACAATGATGTAATTATTTCTGTTTTTGATTCTGATGAACAAATGTTAGAATCTGAAACTATTAATGTTGATGAATATTTAGAAGGATTTAAGTAAATAATTTATTTTATAAATTTTTTTTAAATTCTTTTTTCAATAGATTTAATAAATTTCATGCTTCGAGTGTGGAAGACATATTGGAGATATTGCCCCAACAAAGTTTAGAAATTGTATTCGTTTTACTCCTCATTTAGTTTGTTGTTCCTCGCAAGGGAATGGACATATGCATTTAACTAAATGCTTTTTGGAGACTAAAGGTAGGTATTAATTACTAAAGTTTATATTTAAATTTTTCTCTTTTTTTTGCTGAGGAGTGAGGGGAGGGGAAGGAGAGGTTGGGAGGGGAGGGGGGGGGGTTGAAAGTAATTCTAATCTTAATTTAATTTCTTCAGATAATATTCAAATATCGGCAGCTTCTTTTTATGATTTTGTCCCTCGTTGGCAAACATTAGTTGATGGAGAAGCTCTTTTACTTTTACATAATACAAAAAAGCATGCAGTTCTTGACTTGAAAAGGAATATGTAAATTATTTTAAAAAATTTTTAATTTTTAATTTTTATTTAGTTTACACGATATTAAAGAAGAACATCTTCCAAATAATTTTATTTCACATGGATTCTTCTTTCCTAAAGCTACAGCAAATGAATTAATTAAACTTGGTTAGTAAATTTGCGTGAATCTCTTTGATTGACTGAAATTATTTTTAAGCAATCCAAAAAAAGTTTTAAAAAATTTCTTAACTCAGAGAATTACTTAAACTATCAATTTATTATTTTAATTTCTAAATTTATATTGTTTTTCAGTTAGAGTAGGCGAACATTTTCGATTATGTGAATTTGTTCAAACTCGAGATGAATTAAATCCTACACAAGGTTTTTACTCTCCAAAAGAAGGAAAATGTCAAAATACACCGTAAAATAAATTAAAATATATATTTTTTTAAATTAATTAAAGATTTAAAATAGATCCAGAACTTTCTCAAATACTTTTTTGTGTTAATTCTTTATATTCTGCAATTGTACAATATGATCTATTGCCAGATGATGCATCAAATCTTACTTGGAGAGTTTGGGTATATTTAATAATTTTTTAAAAAAGTTTGAGGTAAAAAGGGATATGTCCATTCCCACGCTTCTTCTTGTCCACTCTATCTCTTAATGTCATTCTTCCCTTTCGATTCGCGCCAAACTGACAATCATTTATTTGATAGCTTGAGGTTAGGGTTCACCGGGGAAGGGAATATTCTCCGGGATGGGGGAGAAGATTCACTTATATTTTTTACAGAGTATATCTGTATTTATTAAAAATTAATTTTTACTTAATAATATTAAATTTAAAAATTAAAAAATCACTAAATTTATGTTTAGCTTCAATTCGACGGTTCTGATATTGTTTACAGTGCCGGCGCGTCCGCGCCTTCTCGCCAAAGACAAATAGCCTTAAACTGTGCTGACGATCGTTTAGAATTATTTGTTTTGGGGGATAATGAATTACACAAATTTATAACTAAATTAAATGGATTAAAATAAATGAAGAAGATTTTTACAAAATTTTAATAATATTTATTATTAAATTTTTAAATTTAGATATAATTATTAAAATTTAATTAATCTATTAAATAATATATTTTTAAATATAGTGGAATCTCGACCGTGCCCGCACAAAATACCGAATTCTCAAAATCGCGAATCGGCTAAAAAAGCTCAAAATACCGAATCGGGAAAAATATCTCAAAATATGGAATCGGCCAAAAAAGCTCAAAATATGGAATCTTAAAATATCGAATCTCAAAATCTCGAATAGGCTAAAATGCTCAAAATACCGAATCGGCTAAAAAGTAGTTAAAAATGTCGAATTTTTTAAAAACGAAAAGGGCCGTTTGAGTGCCGCCAATTGAGTGCAGGTTTTTTTCAGTTTATTCAGGGGTCTGTATCTCAGTCCAATAAAGTCGGATTTCATTGATTTTGGTGTCAGTCGATGCAGCTCGACGTGCTCTTTCAAATGAGCTATCATTCGGAAAATCGATATTCGGTTCGGGATTTGAAGCTCGGTTCGGGTCTGGGATTCGACTTTTTCAAAATCCGAGCTCAGATTCGTAATCAGCATATCTTTTTACCCTAGAAAAACCCTTTTGCATATTTTTAAATTTTTTCGAAGTTGTTGATAAGATTGTTCAGACTCAACTGGCTTTTGCCGCATTGTCGATATTTTGAGCTTTTTTGGCCGATTCGATATTTTGGGATTCCATATTTTGAGATTCGATATTTTGAGATTCCATATTTTGAGCTTTTTTAGCCGATTCGCGATTTTGAGATTCCATATTTTAAGAATTCGGTATTTTGTATGGGAGCCATCTCGACTTATAAACGAAGAAACGTTTGGATTGGGGAGACATTTTAACGGGATAACACTGTATTTTTATTAAAAAGATATTCCAATAAATAACACTTCTCTTTTTACTTTTTTTCCTTCATAGATATATGTATGTATTAGAGACTGGACCGAACGAGATCTCGATAGAAAATTTCGGTTTTGGAGATTCGATTCTCGTACAACACTCCAAGTCCTGTCTCTAATAGTTATATTATTTTAGTTTCCGAATGAGCATCGAGAGTTTTTTTTTAATAACTTTGTTGATTCTTAAATATACATATTTTATGTACTTTTTTACTTTAAAATATGTACATACTCCAAAATACTTCTAACAAAATTTGTATTTGTGATTTATTTTCAATTTATTTTTTAAAAATAATTATATATTTTTTAATTGAAATAAATAGATTTCGTTTGTTTTAATTCTCAACTTTTAAATTGTAATGATTTAATTAAAATTAATTTTGGCATTTTCAATGCCGTTTAATTAAATAAAAAATAAATTTTTTAGACAACATAACCTCTCTCTTTTTCTCCCTCCCGCAGTTTTTGTTAAAAATTTGTGTTCTTTTTTTAATTTAAAATGTTGTAAAAACCGGTATATTTTCTAAAATATAGTTTGAAGTTTAGAATAAGAAATATTTTAGAGAAAAAGAATTTAAAAGTTTTTCATTTTAAAGGAAATGATGAGTAAAAATAATTGTTAAAACCACACAACATTTTTGCGCATCTCGTAATACTCTCTTTTTATTTATTTTTTTGTTTATATTTATTTTTTGGAGGTATTGAAAATAATTTGTATTTATTTTCTTTTTAATTTTAAATTGCCTTAATTTATTAAAAAAATATTTTTTTTTAATTTTAGAATACAAATCTTCTTCTCTTTGATTTTATTTTATTACCGCCTTTTACGTCACGTTTTAACAAAACTTTGAAATGCAAATTTTTAATTATTCAAACAACTTGTTTAAATTTAAAAATAAAAATTAAATTTTTCTAAGCTTTTCTATGATTAAAAATTATTTTTTAAAATTAAACATCTTTCACAAAATTTGACAAAAACAAAAGAAAGCTTCGAAATCATTTTTCATTAACTCTGATTTTTATTTAAAATTAAAATATTCTTATAAAATAATTAATTTATTTTAATTATTTAAATTTTAAGACTGTTATTTGTTTAAAATGAATCAAACAGAAAATTCTGCAAATAATTTTTCATCATTTGAAACATCAAATTTTGGTAAAAAATTCTTAAAATTATTAAGGAAAATAATTTTAAAATATTTTTAAAAATATTTTTTAATTAAATTTCAGAACCAACTACTTCATCTACTAATAAAAATAACAAAAATAATAAATCAAAATTTTCTCTACTTAAATTTGTTCACCTTGCCTATAATTATTGGGCAATATTTATTGTTCGTAATTCTAAAGCCATAATTGCAATGTGTACATTAATTACTTTTTTATGTACTTTAAAAGTTGTTATGACACAGTTAATAGTTTTAAATATTATTTAAATATATATTTTTTAGATATAAAAATGATATAACAGGATATACACCTTATGGAGCTCGTTCTAGACAAGAATTAGTAAGTAAAAAATATCAGTTTTCTTTATACAATCAGAGGGGGATTTATTTTTCATTTCAAAAACCCCTTAAAATTAAATAATTTTTTATCAACCATCATCTTTCGGTCCAAATTGTGTGAATTTTGCAAACCAATATTTGCTTTAATTTACGGTAATTCTTCGGTTGTCGCCCCCCCTTTTTTTATGCTTCCCTGACCATTTTGAGCTTTTTTGCTTTGTCATATAATAATTTATATATCATTCGAAAGAGCTATCCAAGCTGAGTTGATTGGTACTATGATCGGTTAGATTTGGCAATTTTGAACATAATTATGAAACTAAATCTTTTGTGGACATGTTTTTTGTGATGTTGAACGTGATTAAAACAATTGCTCATAACTATGTTGATTTAATTCAGATATCGACGATTCTAGTGCCGTTCGACTCAGCTCGAAGTGCTCTTTCGAATGTATATAAAAGTTCATAGAAATTTCATGGAAAATGTAAAAAAATAGAACATAAAAAAGGGGGGGGCGACAACCGAAGAATTACCTAATTTACTTTTATAAAATTATAAGTCCATTTTAACAAAAATATTGCCTAAATTAATTAAAATTTATTAATAGAATTTAATTTTAAATATTCTTTTTTATTTTTCTTTACTTCCTTTTTTAGGCCATTCGAGAACATTTTTTCAATGACAAAGATGGAGGAGGATCCCCTTTTGGAATATTTTTGTTACTTTTACCTAAAAAACAAAATAATAAGGATAATGATAATTTTTTAAACGAAAAAATGTTGAATGAAGCAATTAAAGTTGATGAAATTGTTAATCAAAATTTCCCTTTATTTAATTTAAACAAAAACCGTTCCGAAACTTTTTCTCAATTTTGCCGTGATTTTTGTGAATTAAATGAACCTTTAAGGAGATTTCAAGTAAATTAATTTAAATTTTTATAATAATTTTATTTAAATTTAAGGAAGGGTTTCAACATCAAATACAACGTTTAGAATCTAATGAAACATTAAATCCTAATATTAAACTTAATTACCCTTTGAGTAGTATTTTTGGAAGAACATTTAACATTCAGGTAAATTAATTTGTTAAAAAATAATTATTTAAATTGTAAAGCTATTTCCGGTTATATGTAGATCCCTTAATATTAGAGGAGGATAATAGTATCGTACTTTTTTTACTTTCCTTATAATTTTGAACTATTTTTATTTTTAAAAAATATTTTCTCTTTAAATTACTTAAATTAAATGTTTTGTCAGTTTTAAGCCAAATTTCTTCGGTATTCATTTAAATACAAACAATAGTAACAACAACAACAAATTATCTAATATGGCCAAAGTTGAAATGGTTGCATTAATATATAAAGCAGAAAGAGTTGGGGGATGGTCTGATGATGAAGTTAAAAATTGGCAATTGTCTGTATCTAAATATTTTGATGAGTTTGTTTTTTTTTTGAAAATTTTTTAAAGATTTAATTTTTAGTGAAAAATTTAATAGTTCTTTAATTCGTGTTTTGAGTGTTTCTACAGCTTATGTTGAAGTGGAAGTTGTTCGTGCTGGATTAACTATGCTTCCTTTTATTATTGTTTGTTTTTTAAATTGAAAGAATTAATAAAATTTTGGAAAAAGAATTATTTATTCAATACAGTTCTCAAATAATTCTCATTAATTAAAAAATTAGTAGTACCCAAATAATTCAATT